CCAATTTGTTCTTCTTAATCCCTTAATTGAAAGTGTTTAATAACGATGTCCTGGTTTGGGGGGTTTTTTTTGTTTTGTTTTTTCCAGTTTTAACTTCTAACTACAATGATTTCTCATAAGCTTTTGAGCACTGGGACAGAGTCTCATGATCATTTTACCGTCAACAGTGTAAGTATAGTTTGGTCAGGGAATGTTTTTCAAAAAATGTTTTTCAAAACATAAGCAGGAAAAAAAAATAAACCTTGGCTATAAAGTATCCTTAAGATTCCTTCATTAGAACCACATCTTTGTTGTTGGTGTTCTTCGTTATCTACATGTATGGGGCTAAGATGTGTCTGTGTCAGACTGAATTTGGGAACAGGCTAGTGGTTTTATATGGAGGAGTTGCCGTGTGTATGCGGTATGGGTGCATTATTCCCTCCTCCAAAAGAGGGAGTTTCAATTTGAAGGCAAGTTAAAGGAAATTGTGATTAAGAAAAGAAATAAAAAGATCACAGCAATATACATTTGCAGGGAGACTACCAAATTGTTCTAGCAACAATTATGTAACTGTTCTTGGCTAATTTAAGGGGGGAAGTACTTTTTTTAAATCTACTATGAAGGCGTATTTTAGTATCTGAAGTTTTGGATGTTTTTTTGTTCAAGCCAAGTTGGATCAAGAAGTAGTTTGTCTTTTGTATCTTAAACGGTTATTCCTTGGGCTGACAGCCTCACTCTTCAGCTTTGGTTTTACCTATTATATTTTTACAAACGGATTTCTTAGGGATCAATACGCAACGCAGAGTATCACTCTTAAACATTCTAAACCAATTCAGCCTTTGCTCTAATGCCCCGCTCTTTTTCTTAGAGAAATGCTTAACGAGGGAGGAGGGGGTTAGGCAGAAAGAGACACAGTAAACAACTGGCAGCTGGAACTCCCAGCCTTGCTGTGTCCATGATGGCTCCAGATTCTCAGATGTAATCTTTCACGACCTTCATTTGCTCTTGGCAAACAGGAGCATTGTCCTTGGTAACTGGTAATAATTTTCCATTCCCACTTCTCTCTGTATATACACAATCAGTGCCGAGAAATTGCTGCAATTCCTTAGGACAGTGGTCGGCAAACTCATTAGTCAACAGAGCCAAATATCAACAGTACAACGATTGAAATTTCTTTTGAGAGCCAAATTTTTTAAACTTAAACTATATAGGTAGGTACATTCAACTTTAAATTCAACTTTAAATTCACGGTTTTCGTCTTCCGTTTTTCTTTGTTTCTTCTTTGTAGCTGTCTCAAACAGGGCACCTAAAAAAATGTTTCATCCTATATAATAAAAGGGTAATATGCAAATTGACCCTAACAGCAGAACGACTGGGAATGACTGGTCATTATGACACCCACTGTCCACCAGGGAGCAGACACTCAATGCAGGAGCTGCCCCCTGGTGGTCAGTGTACTCCCACAGGGGGAGCTCTGCTCAGCCACAAGCCAGGCTGCCAACTGTCAGCACAGTGGTGGTGGTGGGAGCCTCTCCCGCCTCCTCAGCAGCACTAAGGATGTCCGACTGCAGCTTAGGCATGCTCCCCGCTGGCAAGTGGACATCCCCTGAGGGCTGTCGGGCTGCCAGAGGGATGTCTGACTGCCAGCTTAGGCCCAGTCCCCCGGGGAGCAGGCCTAAGCCAGCAGGTGGACATCCCTTGAGGGGTCCCAGACTGCGAGAGGGCACAGGCTGGGCTGAGGGACCCCCCTGAGTGCACAAATTTTTGTGCACCGGGCCTCTAGTTTTATAATAATAAAGCCACCAACACAAAAGAATTACAATTCTTAAGTTGACAACAAAAATACCTGAAGGATTTGCAGCTGGTTGGAAAAATACAGGTAACTTTATGCTTCGAGTAGGTACTTTAGTCACCCGCGCGCGATTTGCGGACACGACTAGCACTAACCACTGCACATGAGACTGCTGACTGACTGACTCACTCAACTTGTGCATGAATCGCGCGCGCCTCCCCCACGCTGCATATCCCGCGGCCCGCCTGCGCCGCGTCTCCCGTCACCCTACCGACCGACACCCCCCACTTCTTCTAACGCCACTTCTTCAAAATAGACTCGCCCAGGCCGAAAACCGACTTCTGCGCATGGGCCACGAAGTTTCAATCGCACTACGAGTGCGCCCGCACGTGGTATTTTGTGGAAGAGCCACACTCAAGGGACCAAAGAGCCGCATGTGGCTCGAGAGCCGCGGTTTGCGGACCACTGCCTTAGGATCTTAACAAGTCAGAGTCCTTGCTTGCTAGCTGCACTGTAGCTAATCAGGGAAGAGTTTAAAGTTCTGGAAGCATATTGGAAAGTTAGAAATCTTTAAATCTTAAAATGTGATCATGGGTCCTAATATCTGGTGACAGGAGATTTGACTTTGGGTAGTGAGCACGTGGTGCAATATACAGATCCTGTAACATGGAAACCCACACCTGAAACCTGTATGTTCATATTGACCAATGTCACCCCAATCAATGTAATTGAAAACCATGCAATCATTGTAGGCCATGGACCAGAAAGAAATTAGGCCAATCCAAGATAAAATTAGACAAATTTTTGAAATGAAAATTTAAAACAGTGACCCCAGTGTTACTATTAAATGTATTTAGATGATCATCAGATGTACGAGTAGTAAATATTTCAGGTAATACTGTGATGCTTTTATCCCAAGAGTAAATGCAACCTTTTCTTAAAATAGGCATTTAAGAACAAAACTATTTGCATTTGACGATGACATTGTACATTTGATGTGTTTTTCCAATGAGAAAGAAAATGTTGAAATTGACAGTTGTGCTATACTGAAAATTACAAGTTGAATCATTGACTTACTACTTAGATGTACGTGTTTGAGAGAGCATTCGTGTCCTCAGGCTCACCATGGGAGAGACCCTGTATCTATTACTGAAATAGGTCAATTTGAAAATGTTGATACTGCTATTTAATCAATGATAAGCCATAGATTTTGCTAGTATATATTAAATCCTTTGAAAGTAGTTATACACAATGTTACTTGCGACATATATAACAGACATGGCATTACTGTCCAGAATATATCAAAGAATTCAATAAGTAAAAGAGACATAAACTAATGGGAAAGTGGTAATTCACTCAGAAGAGATAGAAAAAAACCCCAATCATTATATATTTTAAATAATGCTAACCTTCACCAGTGATCAGGGAAATCAATACTAAAGCAATGATTTTTATTTTTACCTAAGATACTGACAAAAGTTAAGATTTATTTAATGTTTATAGGAAATTGGACAGATGCAGAATCTTTGTGGCGTGTAATTGACACAGCCTTTTTGAACTTCCACATTTTATGGAATTATTTACCATAAGCAGGCATCCATGTCCATGCATATAACTTGTTTAACGGGAAAAAAAAATAGAGGATCTGTGGATTTTGAAGTCCATTTAGAGAAAAACAAGCTGTGAAATGAAGAAATGGCCTTTAAAACGATGTCTTTGAATGCATATCAGCCAATAAAGTAGTGGTCCCGGTCAAAAAGATAATCCGTTCCTACTAACTGTACTTTTTCCTTTTAAATTTCATTTTGTTTTACTTCTTTCAGTTTTGACAGCTAGAGTCATCGGTTAGCAAATACATTTTCTTTGAAACACCACCACCTCTGGAATGGTCGTTAAGGGCCATTCATACATAGTTGTGCAAATGGAGTCAAATTGCTTTTCCAATTCCTTATATTAGCTCCACTAATGGATTGGAAATTTTGAAATTTTGATCCGAGGAAGAGCTGCAGTCAGTTTTGGAGCACTTTGGAAGCCCGGGAAGTCAGTGCCTAGAGAGAAATGCATAAAGGGAGGGAGGGGCAGGGTCAGAGGTAGCAGAGGGCTTGCTGAGGGCCCTCCCAAACCCCTCCCAGTACCCTCAGCCCAGCCGCTATAGGGGTTCTCTGAGGAAGTGCACTCCGTCACCCTCCAGCCATTTGTAAGGCAGAGTTCATCTGTGTGGGCCAGTCCCATTCTGGGGATCAGAAATGTTACAGGAAATTGAGAGCCTAGGAAGGAGCCACATTAGCGTTGGTGAGAGTCTGCAAGTCATGCCTTATTTGGGCTAAACGAGAACATTTTTTTTTAATTAAATCTTTATTGTTCAGATTATTACAGATGTTCCTCTTTTTCCCCCCATAGCTCCCCTCCACCCGGTCCCCACCCCCCCATCTGCCCTTACCCCTCCCACTGTCCTCATCCATAGGTGTACGATTTTTGTCCAGTCTCTTCCCGCACCCCCCACACTCCTTTCCCCCAGAGAATTGTCAGTCCACTCCCTTTCTATGCCCCTGATTCTATTATATTCACCAGTTTATTCTGTTCATCAGTTTTTTTTATTCACTTGGTTTTTAGATTCACTTGTGGATAGATATGTATTTGCTGTTCATAAAAAAATTATGAACCTTTAACGAGAACATTTTTAAGGGGAACGGACACAGCTTTAAGTATGGGAAGTAAATATGGGAAGGTCTGTCATTTAGATTTTCTGCTTATGGATAGAGGTGGGAAGCATCGAAGCCATAGGCAGAAGCCACCAAGAGGCTAATTTCAGCGCACAATAGTCCCGTAATCATTCTTAGAACAATCCAACCCTGGAATGAGCTGCTCTCCAAAACCGTGGCTCCGGCTGCTGCGGAAATGCCTAGACTACAGTTGGTAGCCCTCTCCGAAAGGAGGTTGGTTTGATCAGAAAATCCCCCTTTTTTTTTTGCTTATGAAATACGTTTTCTTTTTAACTTTACCTTTATTGTTGGGTCAGGTAATCTTAAAAATCTTTTACAACATTACCCTCTGATTCTAGTGCTTCCTAAGACAATGAAATTATATATTCTAGGACTAAGGCCTGGAACACTGCACCCCTTTCAAAAGCCAAATAGGGGCGGAAATACACAGACAAGTCAAATCTTCTTCTGCTATAGCTGAGATAGACGAGAACGTCCAAAGACTTTAGCACAAATGGAGGAAGAGCAGATGAGAAACTGCAAGTAGGCAATCCAGACGCTGAGGAAACTGGGTTACTCAGTTCAGGCTCTCGTCCCCGCTTGTTTTAGCTCCGAGTCCCCGTGCTGATCTCCCTGCCTCGTTGGGATATTTCCAGCGGCTCTGAAGGGATGGCAGTTTCTCTGGCCGTTGCCCGGGCCTCTCGTTATGTGTAGGGAGCAGTGAGTCATTGGGCACAAGAATTTGTACTTTCAGAAATTGGAAAAGGAGTGTGTGGCGTGGACACAACTTTTTTTTTTCATTTTGGAGCGCTAACTAGGTGGTTGCCAGTTTATCAACAACAATGAATTGCCTCTGGAAATGGAATGACCTGGAGAACAATGCTTCTGTCTGAACTCTGTAGTTGGGAGGGAGACGAGAAACCAATCAGTACTATGGGAGCAAGACCCCCAGGGGCAAGCCTGACAGGTTTTGTGTTCTGTGTGGGAGCCGGGGCTGAAATGCAGAGAGAGGCGACCCTTCTCCCTTCCCCACCCTCTCGCCCGCAGTGCTCACCTCTCCTCTGAATAAGGTTGGACAAATATTTGAAGAATGTGGGTTTGCAGGGGAGTCCAAATACTAACCTGTGTCTCTGTTAGGCCTTGTGTTTGCCAGGTGCTTCATATAACTCTCTCTCTCTTTTTAATTTGTCTACAGTGTCCATGGAAAACATTGGAGAACAAGGTAAAATATGCTCTTGTTTCAGATGTAAAATTTTAAAAATCATTTGAAAGAAGCAAATTGAATTCACTTAGCTTTGGTTGGGATAAATAAGCTATTCTTTAAGGACGTGGAGATAAGATGGGGTCAAAGATATCCATTCTCATAGTCCCCAGACTGAATCCTGCCCCACACGGCAGGGGACGCTGCCCGCGATGCCTGTCACTGTGCCAGCTGCTCACGGCCTCCAAATACGGGAACACCAGCAACTTCCTGTTCTACCCCGTACCCGTCTCCTGCATAATCCATGGAAAATATCGTGGGCTCTAGTTATGTCACACTGATTGATGCCTTAATGGATGCTTTAACTTTTTAATGATTCTATGAGTATCATCATTCTTCAAAAAAGTTAAAATTGCTACTGATGTTTTAAAATACCAAATAGGCTATATTTTAAATTAGCATACTTTATTCAACTGTATCTTACAGAATTGTTATCTATAGGGTGTCCCAAAAATGTATACACACACTTTGAATCAATATACAGGCAGTGTTTATGAAAATACATTTCATTGTCAAAATTGAGCTCGTAGCTGTTAAAGTGTGTATACATTCTGGGGGGACACCCTGTATGTATATTCCAGAATTAATCATCATCACTGTATACAAAAACCAATATTTTCTATTTGCATAGCACGTCAAGAATAAAACACAACACCAAGTGTGTTCACATATTTTACCTGAAACAAGTGTCAGAATGCTTTTCCTAACGGTCGTCCGGTGTGGTAAACAAGACACTTGAACTTCCACTGGAAGACACCGCTCTTTATCCAGATGGTTCTCTGCTTAGATGTGTTGTCATTAACACAGCGAGGGCCGCCGGATCTGACTGGAGCTGAGCAAGCGATTAAACAGCTTCTCACATAGGAGCGGCTTTTGCGATTCTTCGTCCATGAAGCAGAGTTTTTAGAGCCTGAACGTTCTGACAGTTGTTTAATGCTGTGCTTCTGATTTAGAGTTGCAGGCATAACCGCTCACTTTCACAGTTTAGGAAACGCGGCTGTGAGCCATTTTTGACAATAGACGGGCCTACCTACAGATGGGAGGGCACTAATCATGGTCACATCTAATTATGCATTATTAGGGATTTTTAAAAAACCCTTGGATTTAGGTATAAAAATTCATTCATTGAGTTGTGCCTATTCCAGTATGCTATAAATGAACTTATTTACAATAATAAAAATTAATAATAAAAATTCAAAATAAAATGAACTTACTATATTTGGCAATTTTGGCGTTTTAGAATAAACAGATTGTTTTGAATACCAACTCACATATTACAGTAATAATTGTGTTTCTCTCACTTTAGTTGTGTGCCTGATTGCTTATCATCTCCTTTTTGCAATGTTTGTCTGGTCGTATTGGAAAACCATCTTTACATTGCCAATGAATCCTTCAAAAGAAGTAAGTAAAAATATTAGTGAAGTCATCCTAAAATTGGAAATCAATAATTCTGATGTCTGAAGAGTTAATTTTATGTCTTTTTATTAATGTTGCAAACTTATTGAGTGTGATAGTTTTTTAATATTAATGTATCTATTAGTAAATACTTGAATTTTCACTTGGTAAATATTAGTTTTGCACTGGATGAGTATTATATTTCCAATGTTAAATCTGTCATGTGTTCTACTTTTAGGGTTAGATATCAGGATGGATGGATAGATAAAATACATTAGATAGATAGATAGATAGATAGGTAGAGTGGAAAGTAGACATGGTTCTATTAAAATTATCCTATTAATGGTGTGTTAGTTGGCTGTGAGCCACCAAACAACAAAGTAATTATTTAATCTCTATATTCAAAGTCTATAGCTGGGCCATACCTGCTAGGTCTCCAGGCTGCTTCTGTGTTGTTGCTCTGACATGTGTAGCCTCCATTCCCAAGGTCACCTCTTGGCCTAATATGGCTGCTTGGTTCCAGCCGTTATGTCTGCATTCCAGTCAACAGGCCAGAAAAAGTAGGAAAGAGAAGCAGAAGGAAATGTCCTTCTCTTTAAGGACTCTTTTTGGAAGTTGCTGATGCCATTTCCACTTACATTTAGAACTTAGTTCAATGGCCATAATCTGTTTGCACAGAAGGCTGGGGTGTAGTCTTTATTCTTGATGGCCGTGTTAGCCATGTTAGAAGAAGGGAAGAGTGGATATTAGGGATCAATTTCATCCACAGAAGCTTTTAAGTAAAGTGATATGATCTGATATGCATTTCGCAAAGATCATCTGGCTGTTTGTTTCTGGGTCTTTAATCTTGGTTAGTTAGATATTCTTGGAATAAAGGGCTGTGTCTTACTCATTTTTATATATTTGGCACTTAGTCCAGTACATGTTCGTTGAATAGAAATAAACTTTTTTCCCAGTAATAATAGTGTTTTAGTAGGCTAACTTAAAAAAAAAAAATGGAAAAGGCCCTGGCCAGTTTGGGTCAGTGGATAGAGCGTCGGCCATTGACCAACGGGCCCTGGGTTCAGTGCCGGCCAAGGGCACGTACCTCGGTTGCAGGCTCCTCCTGGGCCAGGCCCTGGTCGGGACTCGTGCAGGAGGCAACCAATCGATGTGTTTCTCTCACATCAATGTTTTTCTTTGTCTTTCCCTCTCTCTTCCATTCTCCCTAAAAATCAATGGAAAAATATCCTTGGGTGAGGATTAACAAAAAAGGTTTTAAAAAGTTAAAGTCTGGGTACAGATTGTTTCCTAAAGTGACCTGTTTGAAAAGCAGCTATGGTAAAAAAAAAAAAAAAAAAGGCCAGTAAATATACTATATGTCCTAGGAAAGGATATTAAAAACAAAACACAGTACTTGCAAAGAAGTAATGGCATGCTCGGCCTAGAATGTGTTAGATTTTACTTTTCTATTGTCTCTCTTACCCCCATCCTGGCCTTAATTGTAGGTTTGAAGGGAAATTGTGACGCCCATTGTAGGTGATCTCATCCACTGTACTGATGATTATAACCTTATCCATGACCTCTGTCGAAAATTTCCAAATGTATTTTTACTTCTGACCTCTCCTGTGAATTTCAGACACAACCTCCCTGCCAAACATAGCTTCTTGATCATTCTACTGACACCTTAAACCTAACACATCAAAAACTGAATTCACTACCCTCTCCTTCCCCAAACTGTGACTCATCCGTTTCTTAGGCTGCTTAATGCCCCTGACATCCACCTGTCATTCAGGCCAGAAGCTTGGCAGCCCTGCTCTGTCCTCTGGCTTCCTCGCCCCTCTGCCAGCGTCCTAAGTCTGCTGATGTTTTCACCTTCCCATATATTTTTTTTTAGTTACAGCCCCTTCTTTCTTTTTGAATCATTGACTTAATTCAGGGTCTCCATCCTCTCTTGTGTCAGAGACACTGCAGTCTTCTATATGATGTCACTGTTTTCAGCTTTGCCGACAGTCCCTTCCCAGAACCCTGCAAACATTCACATGCTCCGTCCTGAAGCTGGAGCGACCCATCCAAAAAGCAAATGGAGTGCTTTCCCTCCCCTGCTTGTATCTTCTCATGCCTCCCCTTACGGTGAAGGGCCGTCGCCTGAGTTGGACAACAGGGACTCTTGTCTAAATTTCTGACTTCACACTTTATACACTAGTAGTTCTTCATTACGCGTAGTTTCCTGTGTACACCGGGCCAGTATTTTCTTTCTGGTTTATTCTTATCTCCTTTCTCATCCAGATCATTCTGTTTTTATTTGTACTGGCACCTCCTTCTTGGCCGACTTCGGTAGTTCCTCATCATCTCCTGAGCCTCTAAAGCAGTGGTTCTCAACCTTCCTAATGCCCCGGCCCTTTAATACAGCTCCTCATGTTGTGGTGACCCCCAACCATAAAATTATTTTCGTTGCTACTTCATAACTGTAATTTTTGCTACTGTTACGAATCGTCATGTAAATATCTGATATGCAGGATGTATTTTCATTGTTACAAATTGAACATCATTAAAGCATAGTGATTAATCACTGTCAGGGCCAGCCTGACAGGTTGAGCCGGGCTGAGGTAGGGAGGTGGGAATTGAGAAAAGAAAGAAAGACAGGAAAGCGGGATCGGGAGGACTGCAGCTCATTCGAGGAACTGCAGCAAGTTTATTAGCCACACAATCCTATTTATACACAAGACACTGAATAGGAGGTCTGTCAAGAGGAATGTATTCTTTGTTCCTCTTAATCTCTAAGGGAGAGACACAGCAGAAGGACAAATTCTCGGTACAGCAAATCTCAGTAAATAGTTACAGACTTCTTGGTAAGCTATGAAAGGCTGTTCTCATTCTACAAAGGTTGCTCTCATTCTACTGATAACCGCCATCCAAACAAGTCTGGGAAAACTGTGTGGGTAAGGGTCCCAGCCTTGCTAACCCCTTCAGGTGCAAGGACCTTGCCAGCTTACACCTGGTCCCCAACAAATCACAAAAACAATATGTAATTATACATGTGTCTTCCGATGATCTTAGGCAACCCCTGTGAAAGGGTCGTTCGACCCCCAAAGGGGTCGCGACCCACAGGTTGAGAACTGCTGCTCTAAAGCATTGTATTATCTCAGAGCTCAGCCTCTGGGTCTCTCTCTTATTTATCTACATTATGGCTTTATATATCGACTCAGGTATTGCTATCGCTTTCAGGTTAATATCATCAGTCCAGTCCTCTCTTCTAACCCCAGGCTCGTGTACAGCTGCCTATTTGGCATCTAATTGTGAAGACAGACTTCGGGTCCCCCCACCCACTCCCCTAACCCTCCGATGGCTGACGTTTCCCTGTCTCAGCAGTGGCAGCTCCATTCGTCCAGTTGTTCAGACCCACATGCAGTCACTCAGCACGTGCTGTAAGCCGGGCCCTCAGAGCTCTCGGCGTGAGCTGTGTCCCCTCACTCCTTCCCTCCGGCCCAGGCCACTGGCCTCTCCCACTCGTGTGTTGCGGTACCCGGTCAACAGGTTTCCTTGCTTTCGTACTTGCCCGCTTCTGTATATTTTCAACGCAGTAACCAGAGTCATTCTTTCAAAAACAAGGAAGATCCTATCATCTTCTTCTTCTCAGGACTTTCCTATGACATCTGAGCCCACTCAGAGTGAAAACCTAGTTTCCTACTGTAGCCCAGGAGGCTGCCCATGGCCGGGCCCCACACTGCATATCTGACCCACTCTTCTGTTCTTTTTTTTTAATTATTATTTTTTATTTTTAAATCTTTATTGTTGAAAGTATTACATATGTCCCCCTTTCCCCCCATCAGTCCCCTCCAGCCCACCCTTTCCTCCACCACAGGCCCTCACTACCACCCCGAATGCGTCCATGGATTATGCATGTGTGCACACAGTGACCCACTCTTCCTAAATGCCACTCAGCCTCCTGGGCCTCCTGCTGATCCATCTACGTGCTGAGCGTGTTCCTCCTTCAGGAGCCGCAACACCTGCTGCTTCTCCTTGACCTGAGCACTCTTCTCCTGTGTGACCCTCCCTTACTTCTCTCTCTGTGTCTCTGTTCAAGTGGTTCCTGTCTGTGAGGTTTTCCATGACCACTCTGTATGAAATAGCAAAACCCTACTACCCCCGGTGTTCCCTATAACCTGGAACTTACTCTGTAGCGTAACATTCTGTAACGCATTCCACATTCATTTTTATAACACCCCTAGGATACAAGCTCTAAGAGGCATGCACTTTATCTGTTTTGTTCACTAATCCATCGCCAATAGGGAAGCAGTGTCTCAGCCATAAAAGGGACTCAATAAATATTTAGCAAGTCATTGAAAGTAGAGAAGGTGTGTGTGCAGATCTTTTCTCAGATAATTATTTTTTAATTGGTTGGGCCAAATTGGCAGTACAAGAAGTAAAATTAACAATTAGTCTGTCTTGAGTATTAGAATTTCTAGCTTTGGCAGGCAGTTGAAATGACTTCTGATTTCTCCCTCAAATTATGTGGAAGATTATCGGCTAAGAATGATGAGAGAGTTGGGTTGACTAAGGTTTGTAAGAACAGAGAAGGTTTGAAATAGTGAATGAATACAGTGGGAAAATGGAATGATACAAAATGCAGAAGAAATAACAGTTTCAATGGGATTGACGGCAGTGAAGTTACAGCTGTACCAGGCTTTTGTCAGATGATTTTTCCACAAAACACATATTTACCTTATTTGTTTCATTTAACTGTGTGAGATAGATAGTATTTATTGCCATTGTAAAGATTTAGCAACAGGCTCTGAACATTGTAATATGTTTTCCCAATATACAAGTAATATATCCATACTAAATTACATTTAGAAAATAAAAGGAAAAAAACATCCCATTCCACTAATTCAGTTTACATTCTTAATTTCTTTTTAGTTAATTTTTTTCACACTATAGTCCATCATTGGCTCATTTTCATTTTTAACTACAGCCTAATATTCTCACTGAAACATTAAAATTTACTCAGTCACATCCTAACTTAGATTTTCAGGTTGACCCCAACTGATCATATTGTAAATAATGTTGGTAACATGTTCACACATAGACCATTAACCATTTTTGAATCATTTCCTTAATATAAATTCTCAGGTAGAATCACTAGATGGAGGAAATTTAAGTCACTTGCCAGATTGTTTCCTAAAAGGATTGTAGACATTTACGTAAAGTGCTTCCAGTTTTATCAGACCCTTGGTGTTGCATGTTGTTATTAAGAAAACTGTTGCCAACTTCACTGTTGTAATTTGCACATTTTAGGTACTTGTGAGATTATATGTTTGTTTTTGTTCTAAGTGAAAAACAACTAGCAAAAAGAAAATACACTTGAGAGTTTTGTTTATTTGTTTTTATTTAATTAATTTATTTTTAAATATATATTTTTATTGGTTTTAGAGAGGCAGGGAGAGGGAGAGAGAGACAGAAGCATCAATGATGAGAGAGAATAATTGATCGGCTGCCTCCTGCGCACCCCACACTGGAGATCGAGCCCACAACCTGGGTGTGTGCCCTGACTGGGAATCGAACTGTGGCCTCCTGGTTCATAGGTTGAGGCTCAACCACTGAGCAACACTGGCTGGGCTGTTTATTTGCTTTTAGAGTCTAGTTTTTTCCTTAATTGGTATGTCCTTTTAAAATTATACTTTCCTTTGATGTGAAACTGTATTTGAGCCCTGATTTTGGTTTCTAATGCCATTCTTCAGTGGAAGGAAGGAGGGCTCCCTGGAGAAATAGCTGGTCCTAGAACTAGAACAGGAACTAGTCAAGGTGAGCCAGGAGCATCTTATGGTCCCAGAAAGTAAGGATGTTCAAACAGACTTTTAAAACCGTTTTGGTTTTTGTTTTTTTTTTTAAAATATATTTTATTGATTTTTTACAGAGAGGAAGGGAGAGAGATAGAGAGTTAGAAACATCGATGAGAGAGAAACATCGACCAGCTGCCTCCTGCACATCTCCCACTGGGGATGTGCCCGCAACCCAGGTACATGCCCTTGACTGGAATCGAACCTGGGACCCTTCAGTCCGCAGGCCGACGCTCTATCCACTGAGCCAAACCGGTTTCAGCTTGGTTTTTTTTTTTAATTATGATATTGGAGCCCAAAGAAATACTTAACTTTTCTCAGATAATTATTTTTTAATTGGTTGGGCCAAATTGGCAGTACAAGAAGTAAAATTAACAATTAGTCTGTCTTGAATATTAGAATTTGTGTAATAATTATTCCTAATTTAAAACTCAGATTAGAAAACATGCATGATAGATTTGTTTCTATTTTTGTTCCTAATGATATCCAATTGAAAAATTCACCTGTTGAACCAAATTTGTTTCTTTTGCTATTTATCTATTAATATAACTAATATTTGGATAGAACTCCACAGTTTATAAAGCACTTTTACATATTCTGTTCCTCTTGAGTTTCACAAATCTCTGAGGAAGTGGGTATTATTATTATTACGAGAGGCCTGTTGCACGAAATTCGTGCACAGGTAGGGTTCCTAGGCCTGGCCAGCAATCAGGGCCAATCGGGCCTTCTTTGTTCTGCCCCCTGGTGGTCAGCACATGTCATAGCGAGCGATCGAACTCCTGGTCTCCCAGTCAAACTCCCAAGGGGACACTTTGCATATTAGCCTTTTATATATATAGATTATTATTCTACTTTCTAGATGCATAAACTAATCACCTGCAAGGTTAACAGACTAGCCCAGATCTCAAACTCTATTACCTTTCTGAATTTATAGACTGTATGCCATTAACATTTTATAAATGCCTTCATCTGGGTTAGTAGATCAATATATGTTATCATTCCTTTGAAAATACTGATTAATGTTTAAATCTGTTCCACAGTTCCACCTCTCTTACGCAGAGAAAGAATTGCTGGAGAGAGAGCCGAGGGGAGAAGCCCATCAGGAAGTTCTCCGGCGAGCAGCCAAGGACCTTCCCATCTACACCAGGACCATGTCTGGAGGTAGAGGTCGATAATCAGTGCTCCGCACAGGAGCTTGTGGTGACTGTGGGAGGGCATATGTATGTCCTTGAAACTGTCAGACACTCATTGAGAAACATTGTGCTAGGTCTTGGGTGACTGTGAATTCTTTACTGCACAGTTCCATGAACCGCAATGGGAACACACGTGCCACTGTGGCACAGAGATCGTAACCAGGTCACAGTGGACTGTCCATCTATCCTGCCTACGTGGTGTGACTCCATGACGTGCTGAAATCTTGATTTGTAGTAGTATTCGTTGTTAAAGCTTTAACTATAGATCATCCCGTTGTCATTTAATTTAACTTAAGGGAGCAAGATCTATAACATATAATTTGATATACCTTTAAAATAGCAATTATACAAAATACATAAGAACATACGTAAAATAGTAGTACGGTTTTTCATCTTTAAAATTTATGGTAATTTTTTAACAAATGCAATCTCTTTTACTTGGGTGAGATTTTTAAGATAATTTAACAGCAATCTAATTAAAGGATTGTCTTAGAAATGAACACACGTGGGTGCTCTCCCTCCAGGAAGCACCCCTGTGCCATTCCCTCCCCCACCCCACCCCAGCACATATCACTGAATCTCTAAGGGACCCCATGAGACTTGCAGCCAGGGGAGCAATGGGCAGCGGCAGCTCGTCCCATTCTAACCCCTGAACCTGTTTCCAAGGCCCCCGTTTCCCCCCTTTTCTCCGACTTCCCATTGAGCCAAGGTGTCCAGGTTCTTCTGTTGCTTCTTCTCTGCCCTTCCTTGTTTCACTGCCCTAGGTGTGTTTTTTGCTGTGGTCAGTAAATTCTTGCTTGCTTTGCTAAAAACAAACAAACAAATGCAAACACACATGGACTATTGACACTCGCCTCCCAAGATTTACCCAGAAACTCTGTGACTTTAGACTGTGCTGCGTGTTTCAGCAGCTACTAGCCCTGTGTGGCCATTGAGCACATAAACTGTGGCCAGACCAAGCTGAGATGGGCTGTAAGTGTAAAATACGTAACTGATTTCGAAGACTTAGTACTAAGAAGAGAGTGTAACATATCTCATTACTGTTTATTTATATTTGCTTCTAGCTCACTTCAAAACCATAACTGAATCTAACTCTAATCACAAACATTTTTTCCTGTTTGTTTTCTTTGTTTCTCAATGAGCCAGGGGTAACTCTGTGATGTAATATTATGTCTCTGTCTCAAAGACAGAGATGTGTTCCTGTATAAGTTCACGTGTGCGTACCCTATGTAAACCTGAGCAAACACTGAGGGAGTTTAAGCCCCTAATTTATAAATTCACTACTGCACAAGTTTCCAAAGCTAGTTGCTGGCGGTGATGGTACCAGGTACAAAAACCTATCTCCTCATTTCTGGTGCAGTATTTGCCTAGTGTGCCCTTGACACGCTGAAGGAAGAGAAAGGGCTGAAGCATAAGTCCTATCAGGACAAATATTAATTTTCACTGATAATAACAACTACACATTGGATTTGTAAATCATCTCCCTGTGTAGTTCATAGAACATTGAGCCTATCGTCTCTTGTTCCTCTCAGGTGCTGTATGCCTGTCTCCTCAGATGAACTCATAGTCCCTAATATGTGTGACAGCCTGGAATAGAATCTGATTCTCTAATATAATCTTTATACTTTCAGTGCAAACATTCTGGATTCCTGCTAGAATCACTATGAACTGACTACAGGCATTGACTCCTTAATTAAGTTGCACAGAGTATAATAGACAGACAGCAATGCTGGTGTGATTGATCCCCTTCCTGAATATGGAGAATGGAGAGGTAGGCATGATTCAGAAGTGAGCAGCCACAGGAGCTCCAGGCAGGAGTGTGAGAGGGCCTTTCTTACCCACCCTCAGCCACACCCTCTGTGACCCCTGTCTTGTGTGGATAACTTCCTCCTTCACTCTGGGGAGGTCTGTGGACTAAAGCAACGTGAAGGCTCAGCCGATGTTCGCACACCTTATACTTGATAGAGCATTGAAGGAAACGGGTGGTAATATCATTTAGGATTTTACCATCCATTCTAAAGCCACAGGACTTCCTCCAAATCTGAAAGAGAGAAACGCCAGCTGCCTGGGGTAAGCTGACTGCTGTACACACAGCACATTCAGCCCCGTGCAGACGTGGCTGTGGGTGTACTAGTAGTTGAGGCCGGGTGTTGGGACGTCTGCTCACCTCACTTCTGTTTGTCCTGTGCGTTCTTCTGATCCACCCGTCTTCTGCATCCTCACAGGGCTCTTCAGACTGCTTTATATTATTATTTATTTTGATTAATGAGGACTATTTACTTTTTTTGTTTCTCTCCTGGTCCTTGATCTTTTCCTACAAAAGAAAATTGTACTAGTTTTTGACTACAAAGGTAACAATTAGAGGTGATGTGACTCATTTATCATTGTACATAGATGTTTATAATGTTGTCTTTTCAACATTTAACCACAAAGTTTTAAATTATGTAAGTAATATATGAATACATTCCTTAAAAATTCAAGGAAGACAGTTAACATAAAATGCCCCCTTGCCTGTAAGGAGTTTTTTAAACGATAATCAGAGCTTTCATTTTAAATTACTCTGGCATGATTTTAGTTGGACATATGTGGTATGCAGAGTGTTTTTTTTCATTAAAAAATGAAATTTCTCTTTTTATAAAAGACTCCAAACAAAAAACTTATTTCTACATTGTTTTGATTTCCAGTGAGTTACTGCCCACTTTGATTTGAAAGTTTTTTCCTGCGTACTTTAAAGTACAGATAATCACCAGGAGATTTTGTGACTGTAGACTGTGCTCCCATTGACGGTCTGCTAGTCCCTTGTGGCTACTGAGCACTGACAATGTAACTGTGAGTGTAAAATACATTACAGGTTTCGAAGAGCTGATAGGAAAAACCCAGAAGATATGACTTTCTCTTTAGTTCTTTTAAGGTGGCTCCGGGAGAGTTTAAAAGCGCACATGTAGCTCCCGTTATATTTCTCTGGACAGCAACGCCTTTCACCTTCATACTGGGCAGGAGCCAGGGAGACCTTGGAGGGTCACGGGGAGGAGACCCATGGGCGCCTTCACTCCCGGGCTGAGCAGCAAGGCCACGCCGTTGATCCCTGCTATTCCTGAAAAAGGAAGTTGTGAGGGGTAACGAGGGACTCACTTCAACACTGAAAACAACTCCATTTAGGCCAGTGGTTCTCAACCTTCCTAATGCCCCGGCCCTTTAATACAGTTCCTCATGTTGTGGTGACCCCCAACCGTAAAATTGTTTTTGTTGCTACTTCATAACTGTAATTTTGCTACTGTTATGAATCGTCATGTAAATATCTGCTATGCAGGATGTATTTTCATTGTTACAAATTGAACATAATTAAAGCATAGTGATTAATCACAAAAACAATATGTAATTATATATGTGTTTTCCGATGGTCTTAGGCGACCCCTGTGAAAGGGTCGTTCGACCCCCCAAAGGGGTCGCGACCCACAGGTTGAGAACCACTGATTTAGGCCTTGTGGTCTAAGAAAAGCACATCCTATTCTTAGTTCATAGCAACTGTTTTCTTTTTCAGAGATTATAGCATTAGCTTGACATAACCTTGGTAATTACTTATGGCGAGTATTTTTTCCAAATTTTACATTTGTAAGTGTGGTTGTACTGATCCTACTGGACTGCCCACGTAATAGCTGCTTTCCTGTAACTTTGGTAGCTGCCTGCATCCTGTGAGACGCCTGCGGACTGAAATAGCCTCTCCAACTCAGTCATTCATAACTGCCTTTGCTGCCTGTATTGGAGAAGGGAGGATCAGGTCTCCCGTTACAAGGATTGAAATTCTTATTGGGAGTACTTCTTCTGATTCTCACTTCTAAGCTTGTACCTCGCTCAACACAGAAGGTGTGAGACCTTTCTCAATGTAAGCGATCGAGAGAGTTTATTCACAAATTTCTAAAATTAGGTTTGCATAACGTTTCTAAAATGTGGTTGTCTCCTCTCTCGGTAATCCTGGCGGGTACGAAAAATCATTGGTTTCATGGAGAGAGACATTCTGTTTACTCATATGGAAAGGAAAATATTTCCATGAACCTTTTGAGCCTTACGGTAGGTAGGTAGGTAGGTAGGTAGGTAGATAGATAGATAGATAGATAGATAACCACTGACACTTGGGGATGCCCTAGAACAGCGATGGCGAACCTTTTGAGCTCGGCATGCCAGCATTTTGAAAAACCCTAACTTAACTCTGGTTCCATGTCACATATAGAAATCTTTTGATATTTGCAACCACAGTAAAACAAAGACTTATATTTTTGATATTTATTTTATATATTTAAATGACATTTAACAAAGAAAAATCAACCCCAAAAATGTGTTCGTGTGTCACCTCTGACACGCGTTTCATAGGTTCGCCATCACTGCCCTAGAACAGCGGTCGCCAACCTTTAGGACCTCACAGACCACCGGTTGGCGACCGCTGCCCTAGAAACATTTCCCCTAAAGATCCCCGTCCTTGGGAGATCTCTCCAGAGAACTGAGACTGTGGGCCAGTCTTTTCCGTTTTTGTATTTAAACAGAGTCGACTATCTCAATTTTACCAAATGTAAATTTGGAATGTTGTTTAGAATTTAAACTGGAATAGATGACGAGCGCCATGTAATCGCATGTTCAGTGCACTGTTCAGGGGAAGGCTAAGTGGAGCTCTTTGTTCCCAGCAATCCGATACTGTGACCGATGCCAGCTGATAAAACCAGACCGCTGCCACCACTGCTCCGTCTGTGACAAGTAAGAAAACCTTTGTTTCTCTTATGGAGTGTGTTTCTTTTCTCACTGTTTGCCAGACTATTTCCTTCTCTCCTTGCTCATGTTCTCACACCTTTCTTGGGGAAATGGAATTGGCATGATCACTTGCATTAGTAACGAGTGTGGTTTAGGGCCAAAATCAGTTGTCCCCGTCCCCCGATTCACACTGACATGAATGTCCTGCATGATTTTTAGCAGCTCAGACTTGGCTGGTTCGATGTGGTAAGTATTTCTTCTGTGACCCTCTCCCAGTTGACTTTGTAACAGTCGGGTGTTATCACATACTTCGTGCAACCACAAGAGCAGTAGAATAGCTTGGCCTAAGGATGGAAATGAAAGGACAGGTTTCACCCAGACTTCCTTTATATCCGTTGACATGTTGCACCTTCTTCAGCGTCAGATAATTGTATATGAACACATTGCATTGTTTTTAGACGTTAAAGCATGTAATATTTTCAGTTGAACGTTCTATTATTGCATCATAACTGAAATTAGCTATTGTCTCTATTTTAGATGAGGACTTTTTCTATTATTCTATTTTTATTTTATTTATTATTGACATTTATTATAGATGTCCCCCTCTTCCCCACTCCTTACCCACCTCTACCCAGCCCCTACCCCCTCCTATTATTCAATTTTTAGATAAGTAAATAATTTTGCAATATTTTACTTGCTACAACTCTTTTGAAATAACATATATATTTTTTAATAATTCAATGGGACTAAGTTTTCATGGGGTGTTGAGTTTTGTGTATATGGTTTTTTTTAGATGTATTTTGAAGATGGACCATCATTGCCCATGGTAAGTCTGGCTCTATGCTTAAACCGGTTTCTGTCCCTTCTAACTTAATAAATAAAATCATTTATCTATTTAAATCTTTTATAAATGAAATTTTGCCTTAGCTGATCTAGGAGGTACTTTCAGATGTAATTTCTGATATTTGCTTAATTAGTTCAAGAGTCTTTATTCAGGAGAATTTCCATGAATAATTTTAAAACCAGTAGCTTACCAATTTAAAAGTTAGCTTCTCATATTTCCTGAGAACAAATGGTTTTCTTTGTATGCACATGCATAAACATAGAAATTCTAAAATACTCCCCAGAAATTACACCAAAATGTACATATAAACACAATACCTCACTGGAAGTTTCTAATAATTAATTAATCTAAAGCTTTAACAGTTTATTTTACATAAAACTTGGCATTACAGAGTAGAATAACAAGTATGCAAAAATACACACATACTGTTGAAATAAGGGTTTCCACTTAGAATTCGTTAATATTTTAAAAAGTATTTCTAAGTCAGGAAATTGGGTGTCTTAATAGAGTATTTGAAAGGCGTCATTATCTACTGAAGGTGTTTTCTACCTTTCCCTGTAAGTTACCACCCCCTGTGCACGCTCCTTTGCCAGTCACGCTGAGGTTGCCAGCCAGGTTGGGCTTGCACACTGAGCATGATATTCCATGAGCCTCATCTTCTTCAGGGCTGGCGCTTGAGGAGGCTGTGCCAGTGGTAGGTTGAAGCATAGACCTACAGAGAGTGATGATCTCAGTTGCAGGAACAGCAGGGGGACGCCCGGTTTCCTGTCTTCTGTAGCCCTCCCCGGGCTGCCTTTTGCTACTGTCTGCAGACTTTCTCCTTTAACAGGTTATAAAGCTCCTTAACTCCTATAAGAACGATGTTCTTCCCAAAAAAGACTTCACTAAATAACCTCCATTGTGTATTAGTTTTCATTATGTTCATTCTTTAGCTTTCCTCACTCTTTCCCCCATTGCATTCATTCTGCTCTCGGTACCTTCAGTGATAAGCAGTCTGATCCTCTGCGTATTCCTCTGCTGACCCTCCCATGGCACATGCTGTCAGTGCCCACCGTCTCCCCACGACCCACCTGAGTCCACTGCACCTGCGGGGCAGTCCCCACGCCCGCTGACAGCTCCCCCCCCCCGCCCCAAGACACCTCAGTCTTTGCTGCTCTGCCTGAGGGCCCTCTTCCACCTGGGCGTTTGCTCACCTCACTAGCCTGGCGTCCCGAAGTACCAGGGCATTCATGCCTCATGAGGCCACTCTCAATCAGGGAGAGGCTAGTTAAGAGCACGTGCTTTTTTGAATTTTCTCCCTTCTTGTTTCAAATAAACGGGATACAGAGTGCTGACTGTATATTTATTGAAAAGCAGCCTGTGCCTAAGTGGACCCGTGCAGTTCCAACCCGTTGGTTCAAGGGTTAACTGTATAGTTATATGGTTCTTGATCAATTAAAGCAATATTACGTGTCAAATTTGAGAAATCGAAACACAGAATTCCTTTTCAGTGAAACGGATATTTTTAATGTGTGTATGTGGAAAGAAATCTTACGAAGGACACTTAAGATTTGCCAATACACTTTAAATGATAAAAACTAAATGCTGTGTTAAGGTTGGGCATATGTATACCTGTGCTAAAAAATGTAAAACTCATCGAAAATGTTTTCTGTTTTATCAACAGGGTGAACAATTGTGTTGGATTTTCAAATTATAAATTTTTCCTCCTTTTCTTGGCTTATTCCCTGCTGTACTGCCTTTTTATTGCTGCTACGGATTTACAGTATTTTATCAGATTTTGGACAGTAAGTCATTACCTTGTTGATTTTTTTTGGTATATAAAAGTATATAGTACATTTTTTCGTTAGTGAATTATTTCAGACACTGATTTTATAAACTTGAACTCATTTATAGTCCTCATTATTTGCAGATTCTGTATTTGTGAATTCACATCTTGCTAAAGTTTCTCTGTTACCCAAAACCAGAACTCACAGAGCTTTTGTGGCCATTTGCAGACATGCACAGGGTGGCCAAGAATGTGCGTGGCCCCGTGTGCATGTCAAGCGAGGAGATAAAACAAGGACACTCTGCCTTCTTGTCTCAGCTCCCATATTGTTACACGCTGTGCTTTTCACTCTACTTAACGCCACGTGTTTTTTTGTTTTTTTTTTGCATTGTTGTGCTTTATGTTGGTCATTTCTGTTTAAAATGCTCTTCAAGAATAGTTCTGAAGTACTGTCGGTGTTTCTGAGCACTCGTGTGAGGTGCTTTATGGAGAAAATCTGTGTGTTGGGTGAGCGTCCTTCAGGCGTGAGTCATAGTGATGTTGGGTGTGAGTTCTGTGTCAGTGAATTAACAATAAATGTTGAATAAGCTGTCGATACTGTGTCTTCAGGCACAGATGCACAGAAAACCAGGTTATGAATAAATAGTTCTGCTGACAAAAGTATGACCGGAGGCTCGCAGGAACCTTCCCTGTGTTTTCCCTGGGAGGAAGCCAGTGCTCATGGCAGCTTTATAGAACACAACCACTGAAATAAAAGAATTGACTAAGAAGATTTTTTTTTAGTATTTAAAAATAGAAGTGTTTTCTTTATGTGTAAAAAGATTATTTTTTTAAACTATTATATCTAAAATGCCCGAATTTTTACTAGGTATTGCTTTATTAGGCTTTAGTTAATTCATTTGTTTGCTGCACTATTTACCTTAAATGCAAGCAAAACAAAATTAAAATTTAGTATTTTAAATATTCAAAGATACTCCTCGTGAATACCAAACAACAACAAAAAAAGTCATCCCCTGCCAGAATTGCTTTATTATTTTCATGAAATTATTCTTTATTCGGTAAGACTTTCCTAATTGCTAGATCATTTATGTGGGATGGGATTTCAATCACATTCAATACCAAAGATTTATTGAGCACCTACTATGTGCCACTTCTATTGCTAAGCACTAGGGATACATAGGTGTGTGGACAGGCTCTCGGCATTCAAGTAGACCTTCACTGTGCAGCTAGAGGAATGATCCCTAATGAATGTCTGAGAGAATGTCACCCCACGCTCCTCGTTCCTGTGAATAGTTTTAGTCCCAACCACAAATATATTTGTAAAGGAGTAGCCAGGGTTTTCACTGTGAGGACAGCTGTCAAAAGCTCCCGGTGAGCTCTTGTGACCTGTCAATCTGACAGATCCGCAGGGTGGGTATGGATACAGTACTTCCTTCTATCAGAAGGAGACACCCCCTGGCAGCTCTGGTGCGTCACTGAGTGTCCTTGGCCCCAAACCTACCATTCTAGATAGAGCCGGTGTCCTTGGGCAATAGCACAATGAGAGTCACGCTGGTTTGGCTTTGAGATGGCCTCTTTTGTCACATGAGTGATGTCAGGTTTATTTTACACCGGCGTTATGCTCTCCTGTTTATCTTTTCTCTGATGCTCTTATTTACAATAGCCTGAAGCATTACAGTGGATGTGTTGTTGTATGTGTTCTTGTAGTAGATGCTGTTTTGTTTGTAGTAAAGTAAAACATTGGTGAGTATAGTAGCTAAATTGTGCCAATCAGCCTTCATTTTTGGCACTTTAATAAATTTATTTAATCGCTTATAAATATGTAGTATGTTACAAAACGTATTCAAGTAGTAAATTCAAAAGTAAATTTTATAGTTCCTTATACCTTGCTTTCTTCTGTTATAATTTACACTCATATTACCACAGTTTTTCTATGATTCAGTTATGCCAAACAAAATAAATACCCCAAGTTTGAATATATTTTCCATATATATTCATATTCCAATAAACATTTATTTTAATCTGATGCTATATGTTTTTTCTCAAAGTTTTAACATAAAGCCATGTATCTTTCTCCATATCTAAATTTAAGAAATATTTTAAGCAAAAAAAAAAAATCTTACTTATAAAAGTAGGGGAATGCTTATTCCTTTGACAAAACATTTCATTTTCTTCCTTTCTTTATAGAATGGTCTACCAGATACTCAAGCCAAGTTCCATATTATGTTTTTATTCTTTGCTGCAGCTATGTTTTCTGTCAGCTTGTCTTCTCTGTTTGGCTATCATTGTTGGCTAGTCAGCAAAAATAAGTCTACATTAGGTGAGTATGCAATTTTGTAGTTAAAAGAACTTAAGTACATAAATAGATACTCATCAAAACTTGCCATATGAGTAAATGCCTACCTGTCCTGAAGTGGTAAAAATTATTCCCATTCCCCATATTGTTTTGTGGGATGTGACTTAGACACAAACATATTCACTCATTCCATAGAATTGTTTTACTGTTTATCACATGTAAAAGCATTGTGTAGTAATTGTTTTACTGTTGATCACATGTAAAAGCAGTGGTGAGTAAGGGCCAAACAGCCTGGTGAAGGGCATAGAAAAATCAATAACTAAACATAAAAGTAATTATAACAGGCAAAGTTCTTTAAAGGAAACAAATAGGATCCTGAGGTATATATCAAGGGCTGAGGGTGATAGGAGGGTGCCTGTTTAGATGAGTGATCAGGGAAGAGCTCACCAAAATAATACATATTTAACCTAAGAAGTCAGTCATGGAAAGAGCTAGAACATCTCAGGCAGAGAAAACAGTATGTTCAAAAGCCCGACAGAGGGGGATGCTGTGAAAACAGTGCTTAGAGGAAAATAAATATGTAACTAATAAATGCTTACATTAAGAAAAGAGAAATCTCAAATCAATAACTTCACACTTTAAGAACTGTAAAAATAAGAGCAGTTAACCCAAAGCCAGCCAAAGTTAGGAAATGGTAAAGATTAGAGAGGAGATAATGAAAATAGAGAATTTAAAGATAGAAGATCAATGAAATCAATAGTTGGTTCTTTGAAAATAATAAATTTGACAGGCCTATCGCTAGAAATAAAATAAAAAAAGAGAGAAGACTCAAATTATGAAAATCAGAAATGAAAGTGGGGACTACCAACTTTATAGAAATCAAAAAGGTTATAAGAGAAACCATGAACATTTGTACATCAAAAATTAGGTAACCTAGATGAAATGTACAATTTCTAGAAACACATAAACTACCAGTCTGACTCAAGAAGAAATAAAAAATCTGAATAGACCAAGAGCAAGTTAGGAAGTTGAATCAGTAATCAAGTACCTCCCAACAAAGAAAAACCCAGGACTTGAGGGCCTCACTGGTAAATTCTAGCAGACATTCAAGAAGAATTAACACCAATTCTTCTCAAACTTTGCCAAAAAAATTAAAAGGAAACACTTTCTACTTACGCTTTAAGGGTAGCATTGCACTAATTGCAAAGCCAGAGAAAGACATCACATGAAAACTACAACATCCCTTAGGAACACGAATGCAAAAATCCTCAATAAAATACAAGCAAACCAAATCCAGCAGCATATTAAAAGGACCATATGCTGTGATCAAGTAAGATTTATCCCAGGAATACAAAGGCGTTCACTATGCAAACATCATATATCACATTAATAGAAGGGGGAAAACCACATGATTATCTCAACTGATACAAAAAACGTGTTTGACAAAATATAATACCTTTCATGATAAAAGCACTTAACACACTAAGAATAGGAGGGAACTTCTTTGATCCGATAAAGGGCTTTATGAGAGCCCCACAACTACACTCAGTGGTGAGAAAGAAAAACCTTTAAGATCAGGAACAAAACAAGGATGCCCTCTTTCTGCTGCTTCTAACACCACTGGAAATTCTAGTTAAAGAAATTAACCCAGAAAAATGTCCAAATTGGAAAGGAAGTTAAAACTATTCTTTTTCACAGATGACATGATCATATATATAGAAAACATTAAGGGCCCCACATAGCGAAAACAACGTCCACCAAAAAATAAAACAAAGTTCTTACTATTTTCAGAACTTGCTGCAAATCTACAGTGATCAAAACATTGTGGTGCTGTTATAAGGATAGAGATGTTGACTAATGAAATTGAACTGAGAGTACAGAGCTAAACTTAGACATCTTTGGCCAATTGATTTTTATCAGGGGTACCAAGACCATCCAATGGGGAATGAATAGTATCTTTCAGAGTAATATTTGTAAATCATATGTCCAAGGGCCGAGTATCCAGAATATGTAAATATTACAACTCAACAACAAGAGAAACAAGCCCAGTTTAAAAATTTGCAAAGGATTTCAATAGACATTTAAAAAGACATTTCTCTAAAGAAAACATACAAATGGCCAACAAACACCTAAAAACATGCTCCGTGTCATTAGTTATTAGGGAAATAAAAATCAAAACCACAGAGAGTACCCCTTTATACCCACTTGGATGGATATTAAAAATAACCCACAAGCTTTGGTGAGGATGTGGCCAATTTGGAACCTTCACATATTGCTGGTGGGAATATAAAAGTGTGCGGTCACTGTGAGAACAGTTTGGCAATTCCTCAAAATGTTAAATATAGAATTACCATATGACCCAGCAATTCCAGTCTTAGGTATATACCCAAAATAATGGAAAACAGCAATCAGCAGATAATTTGTACATCAGTGTTCATAGCAGTACTATTTGCATTAGCCAAAAGGTGGAAACAGCCCACATTCCCATCAAAGGATGAATGGATAGGAAAAATATGGTTACATATATTCCAGTGGAATAGTATTCAGCCATAGAAAGGAATGAAGTACTGAAACATGCTACCACATGTGACTGCCTAATGGTTTCCTCTGGGGTGAAGAAAATATGTTGGAACTTGATAAAGGTGGAAGCTGCAGAAAATCATGAACGTACTAAATGTCACTGAATTATGCGCTTTAAAGTGATTAAAATTTTTTTCATTATTGATTAAGGTATTACATATGTGTCCTTATCCCCCCATTACCCCCTCATCCCCCCACTCACGCCCCCACCCCCCTGGTTTCTGTGTCCATTGGTTAGGCTTATATGCATGCATACAAGTCCTTTGGTTGATCTCTCTCCCTTACCCCCACCCTCCCCTACCTTCCCTCTGAGGCTTGATGGTCTGATTGATGCTTCTCTGTCTCTAGATCTGTTTTTGTTCATCAGTTTATATTGTTCGTTATATGCCACAAATGATTGAGACCATGTGATATTTATCTTTCTCTGACTGGCTTATTTTGCTTAGCATAATGCTCTCCAGTTCCATCCATGCTGTTGCAAATGGTAAGAATTCCTTCTTTTTTACAGCAGCGTAGTATTCCATTGTGTAGATGTACCACAGTTTTCTAATCCATTCATCTGCTGATGGGCACTTACACTGTTTCCAAATCTTAGCTATGGTCAGTTATGCTGCTATGAACATAGGGGTGCATATATCCTTTCTGATTGGTGTTTCTAGTTTCTTGGGATATATTCCTAGCAGTGGGATCACTGGGTCAAATGGGAGTTCCATTTTTAGTTTTTTGAGGAAATGCCATACTGTTCTCCACAGTGGCTGCACCAGTCTGCATTCCCACCAGCAGTGCACGATGTTCTATAAATTTTCACCTCAATTTTTACAGAAGTCTGTAGGAAGAGACCTAGCAATGTTTGAGACACTGCCCACATGGTTGATACATAGAAAGCTAAAAAACAAAAAAATATATACTATGAGGTTTGATGAGTAAGCAGGGACTAAGCTAACTGGAGTTTTCTAGACTAAGGTTGGGAGTTTGGGAATACAGCCAGGACTTATGATCTCAAAGGACACTTCAAACAGTGAGATTCCATGATTATAATTGTCAGTGAAGATTAATTGTGGCCAATGAATGACAATTTTTAATATTCAGGCGAAATCTTCTTATAGCAGATACTATTAGGGTGAAAATTGGTATAATAAAGTAATTTCTAAACAAAGTATCTTACTTTCAAAATAGATGTTGGACAATTAAATTTCAATTTATCAAAAGTAAATGAATTGCTTCTAGAAGCTTTTAACTCCTCAAGCTTGTAGATTGAACTTGTAACACCGAAAGGACATCCTACAATGTGGTCCTCCGGTTATAAACCTGTGTTATACATAAAGCTACATAACTTAGACCAGTGATGGCGAACCTTTTGAGCTCGGCGTGTCAGCATTTTGAAAAACCCTAAACTCTGGTGCCGTGTCACATATAGAAATTTTTTGATATTTGCAACCATAGTAAAACAAAGACTTATATTTTTGATATTTATTTTATATATTTAAATGCCATTTAACAAAGAAAAATCAACCCAAAGAATGAGTTCGCGTGTCACCTCTGACACGCGTGTCATAGGTTCGCCATCACTGACTTGGGGGATAAATGCTAAGGAACTTGGAAATTGCCACATATTTTTAGTACCTTCACTCTGCTAATTAGAGTTTTCTTTTTTACATGATGGACAGAACTCATTATACTCATGCGTTTATTCATAGTCAAAAAATTAAAATTTTATATTTTTACATCTCAGAAAAAAATGAAGCATGGGAAGAACATTGATGGCCTTGTTCAGGTTGCATGCTGATATTTACTTTCTGTGTGATCATTCATTTCCTGTGTGATCTTGGGCAAGTCCCACAGCCTCTCTGCACCTCAGCTTCCATATGCAGTGTGGGCATAGTCACACACATGGTATGATTCTGCATTGGATCTTGGTTTGGACAAACCAGCTTTAAAGTATATTTTGGGTAGGTATGATTCAATGAGATTGTAAAATGGAACATACTGTAAAATGCAGGCTATAGAATGTATGTGTAGTCTCATTTTAGTTAAAACCTATGTAGATTTGTATATATTTATATCCATCCACCCATGTATCTAAAAAAGAATTAGAAGATGTAAATTACTTGCTTTTTGTATTTTCTAGTTTTCTGCAATGCCCATCTGCTGCTATAATAGTTAAAAGGTTACTTAGAAATTAAAGTAAATGTAATCATTAGATTCTTTTAAAGCAGTACAAGCAATCTTCATTGCTGGGCTGCTGGTAGGCACATAAGTCCTCAGGGGGTTAGCCATTGATTTTCGAGTGCCCTCATTTAACTCAATCACTTCTAAAGGTTACTAGTTAATGTTCATTACTCACGTGATTGCTCTGCTGTCTTTTTTAGAGGCTTTTAGAAGTCCTGTATTTCGACATGGAACAGATAAGAATGGATTCAGCTTGGGTTTCAGTAAAAATATGCGACAAGTTTTTGGTGATGAGAAGAAGTACTGGTTGCTACCCGTGTTTTCAAGGTATTTCGTTGTGAAATGTTTCCGGTATTAAACCAATGAAAGTAATCCAGCAAAGGGACTCTATGGTTCTGCACAGGACCTCCTGTTTTTTAACGTACTATTTTATGATTCACTGTTGTACCAATGTGGAAATAAATTAACTCCTCACCCCCTATACAGACTGTATTGAAATCAGTGTCTGGCACACGTTGGGCCCATCACGGAACTGTGTTCTGCTCGCAGACGTGAGCGCTGTAACAGAGTCTCACTCTGTTGGCGTTTTCGTGGCTCCGTTGTAAGTGTTTGTTTCCATTATAGTCTCGGCGATGGCTGCTCCTTCCCAACTTGCCTTGTGAACCAAGATCCTGAACAGCCGTCCACTCCTGCAGGACTGAATCCAGCATCGAAAAAGTAATCTCATGTTGTTTTTTTCTACTTCACTTTCCAATAACATCTGTTATCCTCACCTGTCCTTGGGTTACATGTTTCTTTGAAAAGTTTTAAGAATATAAGAGAATTCACTACAGTGGTTTCTGTTTGGAATGAAGGAGGGAGGAAAAAATCAGGAGCTTTAGTTATAGTTGAAAAATTCTGTTATTAATCTGGGTGGTGTATAAACAGGTTGTTAATTCTCTAAACATTTTAGTTGACTGAAGCATATTATGATTTTTTTAAAAAATATATTGTACTTAAGCCCTAGCCGGTTTGGCTCAGTGGATTGAGCGTCGACCTGCGGACTAAAGGGTCCCAGGTTCGATTCCGGTCAAGGGCACATGCCCAGGCTGTGGGCTCGATCCCCAGTGGGGAGCGTTCAGGAGGCAGCTAATCAATGATACTCTCATCGTTGATGTTTCTATCTCTTTCTCCCTCTTCCTTCCTCTCTGAAATTAATAAAAAAAACTATTTAAAAAAATTGTACTTAAAAGAAAAAAAAAGTAAGTCCAGATTAGCTTGCCTGGCGGTCAGGTGAGCCGATCCAGGTGGACTTTCCTCTGACTCTCCAGGTAACTTATAAAGAGATCAGGAAACTTCCCTGGGTCAGGCCTCTGGAGGACGAATGGAATCCCAGACACCTGCTCTTTTGTTAGCAGTTTTGTTAGCATTGTGCAGCCTATTCCTGCTGCTCTTTACAGACCTCTGTGCATTATCTGAGCCATTTCTGCGGAGAGGAGGGAAGGGCTCTTGGGAATGTATTAAAAGTCAGGAGACTTTTGCCAGTGTTTTAAGTCTGTTTTGGTTTTAGTCTATCAAGAATCTAAGGAAAACCTGAAATTTGATTCTGATTTGGCTGCTAACTGGCAAAAGGCAAAACTACTTAAATGTTTAAAATGCTATACGTATATGAATAAGTTTTAAAAACTAATTTATATCGTTAAGACAGAGTTATTTGAATATGACATACTTCTGATTTTTAATGAAATCCAATAGCAAAAGCATAACCATAATAGCATTCTTAGTTAAATATTAGAGAGTTTCTTAGGTGCCAGAATGCAGTGTGCATGCACCTATACCTGCGCTCCCCCTGTCTAGTGTGGATTTCTTTCTTTCTTTTTTAAAAAATATAATTCTTTATTGATTTCAGAGAGGAAGGGAGAAGGTGAGAGAGATAGAGACATCAATGATGAGAGAGAATCACCAATTGGCTGCCTCCTGCATGCCCCTACTAGGGATCGAGCCCACAACCCAGGCGTATGCCCCCGGCCAGAATCGAACCTGGGACCCTTCAGTCCGCAGGCTGATGCTCTATCCACTGAGCCAGGCCGGCTAGGGCTAGTGTGGATTTCTTATTGCCAACAGTATTTCTCCTCTGCAGCCTGGCCTGACCCCAGAATGCGTCTCAAAGTAGTGATCCTGGCGGCCATTCCAAATTATTTTAAACCAGAGGCCCGGTGCACGAAATTCATGCATGGGGGGGTGTCCCTCAGCCTGGCCTGCACTCTCTCACATCCCGGGACCGCTGGCTCCTAACCGCTCACCTGCCTGCCTGCCTGATCACCCCTCACCACTGCCTGCCTGCCTGATCACCCCTCACCACTCTGCCTGCCTGCCTGATCGCCTCCAACTGCTCACCTGCCTGCCTGATCATCCCTAACTGCTCACTGGCCTGCCTGATCGCCCCTAACCGCTTGCGTGCCTTCCTGATTGCCCCTAACCACTCTGCCTGCCTGCCTGATCACCCCAACCGCTCACCTGCTTGCCTCATCACCCCTAACTGCTCGCCTGCCTGCTTCATCACCCCTAACTGCCTCTGCCTCGGCCCCTGCCGCCGCGGCTTCATCCAGAAGGACGTCCAGAATGACATCCGGAAGGTCATTTGGCTGTCCGGTCTAATTAGCATATTATGCTTTTATTATCATAGATTGTCAGGAGATGAAACCTATTCACCACCCCACCCCTAGAGGGAGCTATGTATAGACCAGACTCTCCATCAATGAGGGATTTCAATGTGCTTCACAGGGACATTCAAAGGCACCAGAGTGTTTTGGGACATGCTCTGAGAGTTTTGGCTTGAAAACTCCTCAGGAGCTAAATGTTAATGGTTTTCTTTACTTTGGTGCAGAAAAATCTAGTTTTAATAAGTTATGTGTTATGTTGTCATAGCTTTCATAAAATTTAACAGTAGTTTTCAATAATGCTTCTTATCTTTATTAAGTGGTTTTTGTAGTTTAAGACTCTTTGGGTTTTAGAGATCATACCTCTCCCACGACGTGTCCCCAGGGTATGGAGAGGAAGCCGGTTCTGGCACTGTTACCTCGCCAGGTGATCTTGAAGAGGTCAGGCTTCTCCTGTTTCCTTTAAATGTTGAGATTGGATTTTGGCAGCTACAGAATTTTATAATTCTCCCTGATTAGCCCATATAAAATTTCTGTGGTTATTGTTGGGATCGCTGTGCTCCAGAGTTTTATATCTGGCTGTCTACTCAACATTCCCACGTCAGTGTCTAAAAGTCATGGCCAGCTGAGCAGGTGCAAAGCAGAACTCCTGATTCCAGCCATCCACACCCTCACGCCCACCAAAGCCTGATTCTCCTCATTCTTCCATACGTGAATCAGTATTTGTGACCTCTGTCCTCCCAGGTACTCTGGCCAGAAACACCGGACTCATTCCGATTCCTTTCTTAAGTTTTTCTTTATTTACTCCATTTGCAAACCCTATCAGATTCCCCCTCAAAATACATCTGTATCATTTCTCACATGAATTGTTTCAATTTCTTCCTGACCTTCCTGATTCCATTTTTTTCCCTACTCCAGTCTATTCATTAGGAAGTCAGCGTGATCCTTTTGAAACATAAATCAGATTTTGTCGCTCTTCTGCTCAAAAACCTCCATTGATTTCCCATCTTACTCAGAATAAAGACTAGTGAATGTCCTTACCTCATTCTATCTAATCTGGCTCCCGGCACCTCTCTAATGTCAGCCCTACTGTTCCTCAGTAACAATCCTTGGACACACAGATCTTGGCTGTTTCTCATACACCAGGCATGTCCCTTATTTAATGCCTTTGTACTTGTTCATTCCTCTTCCTAAATGTTCTTCCTCCGGAATCCTGAATGGTCTGTGCCTTCTCTTCATTCACTTTCTACTCAGGTGTAACTTCACAATAGAGGCCATCCTTGAAAAGCCTTTGTAAAAGAGTAACCTGCTCCGACACTTCCCTGGACACTAGTTGTCATAGCTCGTATTGTCACCTGACTTATTATATATTTATTCCTTTATTATTATTCTTCCTCGGTTACAGTGAAATTTCCATGAGATCAAAGACTTTATTCATTGATGTAATAGTTACTGAATGAGTATCATTAAATGAATGGATCGATGCCGGCAATCAGTCTCCACGGAATCCCTAAACCAGGACTTAGTCCCTATACCTGGTAGATGGCCTCTTTCCTGAGGAATCAAAAGAATTAGAGTAAAAGGAATGGGAGACATTCATAGGAATGGAAGACATAGTTTTTTAAAAAGATTTACCTTCAAGTTTTTAATAAGGGTAGGTTAAAGTTGCACAAAATTAAAATATTCTCAAATTTTAGATCTGAGATGCAAAAGCATATCCTTTAAAAAATAATAGTTACAGACAACTGAAATATGTGAAATTATTCTTGGAGGAATTTTAAGTAGTTTTTTCTTTTGAGCAGTATTATAATTAGTATTTCAGGGTGTTCTAAAATAATAGTTTCTATGCCAATATTTTTTTTCTAACTCATGTTATTTTAATTTATATATTTATTTTTTCATACCATCCAATATGTCAATATGTGGCATGTGTACTTAAATTTTAAAACTCAAGTTCTTTTTTTCAGACTCTTTCATTTTCCCAAATTAAACACCAGGCTTGGAAGACCTGATAAGGTCAGATGTTTTCAACACCTCCTGCAAGATGATGCTCAAGTTTGTTGTTTCAGTCTTACAGGGGATAGAGGATTCTTTGTTCAAGACCAGTCAGGCCACTTTGGAAACACTAGACCAATTTTTCCTCAAACTTATCTTTCTACCATCACCTTCATAGATTTTTTCCATATCCACATACCACTTAAAAATACCATTTTTCTTTAATATGTTTATTTAAACTTGCACTGAGATTTATTTTTAAATCAAACTTCATACCACTGTCATAAATGACAAACCAGTATAATTTGTCATAAATAGAGTATAACAATGGAAAATTGGAAATGAAATACTGTTAGGTCTAATTAGATTCCCTTACCTGCTAAAGTCTGAAGCTGAGGCCAAGTTTTTGTATTAAAAATGGAGATTTGCCAGAGTTGCAGGTTGTCACCTTATTGTAATCAAAATGAAAAGAGAACTAAAGAGAGAACACTTCTTCTCATTGCGAGCCAGGGTGATTTAATTGTTCCTGTGTTCCCCCAATTGTCTTGGGTAATTTCTACAATGATCTCGCACCACAGTGGTTTGAGTTCCACACTCTGAGAAACATGTTAATATTGTCGAGAGTTAATGTGATGATTGTGATGATGATTATTCTTCTTCAGTCCTGAAAACCATCAATTTCCTGCAAAGCCATTGAGAGAGTCCCAGAGCCACCTCCTTACTGATTCTCAGTCTTGGACAGAGAGCAGCACAAACCCGGGGAAAGACAAAGCTGGTAAGGGTGTGCCTGTTCGGCTTTTCGGATATATTTTATTTTTAAAAGGTTAAAATAGTGAAAAACATTCCATTATATTTCCTATAGGATTTTTCTTGCTTTACAGTCTGACTTTCAGTGTAAATTTAGAGTTATTTTCAGGAACTTCTATTTGGGAAGTACTTGAATGTCTGTTAGCTCTAGAAAATCATTTTGTGAAAGATAGATCTACACTGTGTTTTTTTCCAGCTTAAAGAACCAAGTCTTTATTCCTGCATACTAAATGATCAAAATAAATTCAAAGTATAATTTTTAAAATGGAAAAACGTAATCAACTCAGACAAAAGATTGAAAAATATCTGCTGTAAAGGATTTCAAATTATGCAGTTCTTTTGCCCTAAGGTTTCTATCCAATTTCAAAATGTCAAAGTGACTGCATAATTACCATAACTTTAGCTACATGTATTTTCTTCATAGTTCTCTTGTTATTGCTGTTGATTTTAATCTTTTGATTACTTCTTTATTGGCAAAGAACAGCAAGGTTTGAAGCTGGACAGACTTGATTTCAAATCCCAATTTGGGCACCTAATTAGTAGGTGGTATTTGTGAAGTTACCTAAACTTTTAGATTTAGCTTCCTTATCTTGAAAACACTACTTATTTCCCAGGTTGGGAAGGCTTAAGCAAAAACAATGTGGTCAAACATGCAGGTGTGAGTAAATGTGTATGGTGTCCCTATAAATGAGTATGAAACCACTCATTCACCATTGAGACAATGTTAGCCAGAAACTCACTAGGTTGCCTAATTGAATTTCTCAATCCTTTCTCCTTCATTCCTGTTCTTTCCTTCAAACTCTCTCTTAGCACTGCTTAGTTTTAGCTGACTGCACTTTATTTACTAGTTTCCTTGATGTCTCTTTGGGATTTAGTAATGGTGAAAAAAAATGGATCGTCCTGATTAAAAATTATAAGGTCTTTATTAAATATACTAGAGGCCCGATGCATAAAATTTGTGCACTCGGGGGTTAGGGGGGTCCCTCAGCCCGGCCTGTGCCCTCTCGTAGTCTGGGAACCCTCAGGGGATGTCCAACTGACAGCTTGGGAGCGGGCCTAAGCAGTCAGTCGGACATCCTTAGCGCTGCTGCGGAGGCGGGAGAGGCTCCTGCCGCTGTGCTCGCCAGCCATGAGCCCAGCTTCTGGCTGAGCTGCACTCCCCCTGTGGGAGCACACTGACCACCAGGGGACAGCTCCTGCATTGAGTGTCTGCCCCCTGGTGGTCAGTGTGCATCATAGTGACCAGTCGTTCTGGTCATTCCACCTTAATGGTCACTTAGGCTTTTATTATATAGACTAGGGGCCCAGTGCACGAATTTGTGCACCTTAAAAGGAACTGTGGGCTGCGAGGCTGCGGTGGACACAGGGGCAGGTCTCGGCCCATCCTCTGTACCCCTGCCCTGCCCCTCCCGCCATAGTCCCCTGTCTGCTGGCAGCCCCACTCCTGCTGTTCCCATGCGCTAACGGTGTCAGCCCCGCTCGCACCCGCTGACAGTGCAGAGCAATTGGGGCTGGCACCAGCAGCGAGTATGAGCAGGGCCGACACTGTCAGTGGGTGCGAGTACTGGGCGGGACCGTGGCACGCGTGAGAAAAGAATTTTCAGTAACCACCAGAGGCTCGCCCCAATGACAGCGACTGGTGCCCCGCCTTGGTCTGGTGCCCTCGCTCACCTGCTCCACCATTTTGCCGCTGCCGATGCCTGCCATGTTCCGCGCGCGCCCTTTGGTGGTCAGCGCTCCTCATAGTGACCAGTTGTTTGGTTGTTCCGCTGTTCGCGCTATTTGCATATTAGCCTTTTGTTATATAGGATAATCAGTCATATTCTCCTAAAATATTGGCTTTCTTTAAGAAGTCTTGTTTTTTTTGTCCCATTTACTTATTGGTTGATTCTTGTATGTGCCCTGACCAAAAGTCTTGTTTTTTTTAAAGGGTTGGGCAAAAGTAGGTTTAGTTATTCAAATGGGGAATAATACAATAATTAAAAATAATAATACAATTATAAATTCTGTGTTTTGTGTATTTATAAACCTACTTTTGCCCCATCTGGTATATTCCCTCAGAAGATCCCCATCATTTGAGTATTCATAATTTGGTCTCTCTTTACCTTCAAACCTGCCATTCCATTTTCTGATCTATGGGAAGGACAAAAATTGATGACACCTATTTGCCTTTAGAATTCATCAGTTTCCTTAGAGGCAAAGAAGTGATGTATAGTTGCAGGTCAATTTTTGGGGAGATGAAGAAGGATTCATGCTGTTAGTAGTTGGCTTCTTGGATTAATATTTCTGTTACTTTGATAGGTGAATGAGAAACTGAAGTTAAAAAGATGAGGTAAAAGAAGAGAAACATGAGAAAGACGAGGTGAGAAAGGGCTCAAAGATTAGTTTAACTAGAATGAGGTAGGTCAAGGAAGAATTAGGAAACAATGATTTATGGTAGTGGGAAGTGCCAGGTTCAATGTACCTTTTCCTTCAGGTATACATCTCTTTTTTTTTTTGGTGACAGTGGTTGTGGCCTACACTGTTTCTCGTGTGTGTGTTTATATTACCATCTTATTTATAAACACCCATACCGTGTACTAGGAAAACTCACGGATGAATAAACAAATCTCTGCCTATTTGTTCAAAAGCAACCAAAAAAAATGCTAATTCAAGTTCTTTCTTGAAGGGATGAGCAATCCTGCATTGACCATGGAGAATGAGACTTAATTCTTCAAACAAAACAAATTCCTATTGTATGAAAGTAAGTTAAGCTTTTCCTTTATGTTTTATATTTTTCACACTTTTCTAATTCTCATAGGGCAAATTGTTTCCATAAGCATTATTTATTTTTGAGTGATTCAAATTAAAAGATGTCTTAGCTGACCCAAAATAAGTTGATGAACAAATTCATTTTTATAGTAATACATTCAGTGGCAAGGATTGATCCTGAAATGTTGATGTTTACATGTCAATTCTCTTAACATTTCATAGGATTGTACAATTTAAAAAAAAATGTTTCTGTCCTTCGGGATATATAGTGGTCATGTCCTTGATCACTCATCAGCAGGATCTCACTGGGTCTAAGTACAAGAGAATCACGTACTGTTAGTGTAGACCTTTTACCCTCTTTTTGGTCACACTAGGACCCACCCACAGCATGTGTCATTCTTAAAATATAGGCATTCCAGATCACTTCCATTATACCATAATTTTTAAAAACCTGTACTTCAAAATCGGTTTCTTTAATACATAACCTACTTATAAGCCTGCAGTCAATAGAAAGGTACAGTAAAGCGCCCCTTTGGAGCAAAGCCATAAACATGTAGACAAAACAAACAGCTATATCTACCATTATAACAACTACAAATACATCAAGGTTATCAAAACAACTCTCTATTTATAAAACTTCAATCTAGAATCCCAAAGTCTATGAGAAGTGAGACAGTTGCATCTCAAACAAAATCATTCATGTCAAAGTATTTCATGGCTATCTGAGTGTGTATTTTTAGTTTCTGTGTTAGTTTTTTTTAACCCATTTTAACCCTCAAAATCTGTTTTTTAAAATCTTTTAAAATTTGTTTTGTTTGGTTTTAATGAGTAGCTCTCTAAGTAACAGCAAAACACGGATCTGGCCATTTTCCCATTGACTGTTTTGGTCTTGGATGACTATACATTATGGTAGAGTGGATCAGGTTCATCACAACTATGGTTAGGGGAGTGAAAATGTAATCTTCTTATAAGGTTAAATGGCAAAGACACACTATTAAATTTCTGGAAATGATTCTTAAAATGTAACTATGAATAAACAAATATGAATCACCAACCAATACCACAAATAAATGTTTTACAGAACATAGGTCTGTAAAGCATGCAAAGTTTTATAGGAATTTTCTTAGTATTTTGAATTATTAGTAATAATCACCATTGTTTGGGAGGTCATGTGTTAAATATTTTACAAGTTTACATCGTAATATCGTGTCATGTAGATGCCCCAGTGTATTTGCCGCTGCCGATGCCTGCCATGTTCCGCGTGCGCCCTTTGGTGGTCAGCGCTCCTCATAGTGACCAGTTGTTTGGTTGTTCCGCCGTTCGCGCTATTTGCATATTAGCCTTTTGTTATATAGGATAATCAGTCATATTCTCCTAAAATATTGGCTTTCTTTAAGAAGTCTTGTTTTTTTTGTCCCATTTACTTATTGGTTGATTCTTGTATGTGCCCTGACCAAAAGTCTTGTTTTTTTTAAAGGGTTGGGCAAAAGTAGGTTTAGTTATTCAAATGGGGAATAATACAATAATTAAAAATAATAATACAATTATAAATTCTGTGTTTTGTGTATTTATAAACCTACTTTTGCCCCATCTGGTATATTCCCTCAGAAGATCCCCATCATTTGAGTATTCATAATTTGGTCTCTCTTTACCTTCAAACCTGCCATTCCATTTTCTGATCTATGGGAAGGACAAAAATTGATGACACCTATTTGCCTTTAGAATTCATCAGTTTCCTTAGAGGCAAAGAAGTGATGTATAGTTGCAGGTCAATTTTTGGGGAGATGAAGAAGGATTCATGCTGTTAGTAGTTGGCTTCTTGGATTAATATTTCTGTTACTTTGATAGGTGAATGAGAAACTGAAGTTAAAAAGATGAGGTAAAAGAAGAGAAACATGAGAAAGACGAGGTGAGAAAGGGCTCAAAGATTAGTTTAACTAGAATGAGGTAGGTCAAGGAAGAATTAGGAAACAATGATTTATGATAGTGGGAAGTGCCAGGTTCAATGTACCTTTTCCTTCAGGTATACATCTCTTTTTTTTTTGGTGACAGTGGTTGTGGCCTACACGTTTCTCGTGTGTGTGTTTATATTACCATCTTATTTATAAACACCCATACCGTGTACTAGGAAAACTCACGGATGAATAAACAAATCTCTGCCTATTTGTTCAAAAGCAACCAAAAAAAATGCTAATTCAAGTTCTTTCTTGAAGGGATGAGCAATCCTGCATTGACCATGGAGAATGAGACTTAATTCTTCAAACAAAACAAATTCCTATTGTATGAAAGTAAGTTAAGCTTTTCCTTTATGTTTTATATTTTTCACACTTTTCTAATTCTCATAGGGCAAATTGTTTCCATAAGCATTATTTATTTTTGAGTGATTCAAATTAAAAGATGTCTTAGCTGACCCAAAATAAGTTGATGAACAAATTCATTTTTATAGTAATACATTCAGTGGCAAGGATTGATCCTGAAATGTTGATGTTTACATGTCAATTCTCTTAACATTTCATAGGATTGTACAATTTAAAAAAAAATGTTTCTGTCCTTCGGGATATATAGTGGTCATGTCCTTGATCACTCATCAGCAGGATCTCACTGGGTCTAAGTACAAGAGAATCACGTACTGTTAGTGTAGACCTTTTACCCTCTTTTTGGTCACACTAGGACCCACCCACAGCATGTGTCATTCTTAAAATATAGGCATTCCAGATCACTTCCATTATACCATAATTTTTAAAAACCTGTACTTCAAAATCGGTTTCTTTAATACATAACCTACTTATAAGCCTGCAGTCAATAGAAAGGTACAGTAAAGCGCCCCTTTGGAGCAAAGCCATAAACATGTAGACAAAACAAACAGCTATATCTACCATTATAACAACTACAAATACATCAAGGTTATCAAAACAACTCTCTATTTATAAAACTTCAATCTAGAATCCCAAAGTCTATGAGAAGTGAGACAGTTGCATCTCAAACAAAATCATTCATGTCAAAGTATTTCATGGCTATCTGAGTGTGTATTTTTAGTTTCTGTGTTAGTTTTTTTTAACCCATTTTAACCCTCAAAATCTGTTTTTTAAAATCTTTTAAAATTTGTTTTGTTTGGTTTTAATGAGTAGCTCTCTAAGTAACAGCAAAACACGGATCTGGCCATTTTCCCATTGACTGTTTTGGTCTTGGATGACTATACATTATGGTAGAGTGGATCAGGTTCATCACAACTATGGTTAGGGGAGTGAAAATGTAATCTTCTTATAAGGTTAAATGGCAAAGACACACTATTAAATTTCTGGAAATGATTCTTAAAATGTAACTATGAATAAACAAATATGAATCACCAACCAATACCACAAATAAATGTTTTACAGAACATAGGTCTGTAAAGCATGCAAAGTTTTATAGGAATTTTCTTAGTATTTTGAATTATTAGTAATAATCACCATTGTTTGGGAGGTCATGTGTTAAATATTTTACAAGTTTACATCGTAATATCGTGTCATGTAGATGCCCCAGTGTATTGACACAAGACCGCTGTTGCATTTGTTCATCATTATCCTCCACACTTTGCCAAGTACCAGACACGTAGTAGGTTCTAAATAAGGATTTTGTAAATACGTGGTAAAATAACATTGTTAAAATTAACAGTCTCACAAAAACTTGATTTTATTACATTTGAATATAAGACATAATGGTCTTAATAACCATAGGACGGCACAAGTCAGCTGCATTGACATTAAAAAGTGACTTTCTGATGTCATACTTTTCATTCTATTGATATAACCAGAGACAGTAAAATGTTTCTTTTTTTAAAAAATTGCATTTTCCTAAGGTATAGTTTTTCCAAATAGTTTTTAAAATAGCTTTTCTGCTTTACATCTTTGACTTGCAATTCATTCAGTGCAGATTTATATTGAACATATGCTTAATTTAACTACCTTACTAAATGTTATCTTCATATTCTGTTCTCTTTTTGAACTACATTAGTAAATAACCTGTGGCCTTTTATATATTATTTCTTAGTCAGCATATGTCCCAGATAATTATAATGTACCCAGACCTATAGTAGTGCTAAAGTAGAGACTCAATTTAGGCTATCCAACCTTCCCTCTTATAAATTATAAACAAAAATTGCTGTGTTTCTATGCACATGAAATTTCAGACATATTTCCTTAAATCCCTCTTCTAACTCATCTGTCACTCCTAAATGTGTAGTGGCCCTCAGACAAATGCAGAAGAACCCTGCCTCTCAAATTGGGGTCCCAAACCAGTATCATTGCCCTCACCTGAGAGCTTAATAGAAACGCAGGATGCTGGACCTCACTCTAGTCCAGTGGTGGCGAACCTTTTGAGCTCGGCGTGTCAGCATTTTGAAAAACCCTAACTTAACTCTTGTGCCGTGTCACATACAGAAATTTTTTGATATTTGCAATCATAGTAAAACAAAGACTTATATTTTTGATATTTATTTTATATATTTAAATGCCATTTAACAAAGAAAAATCAACCAAAAAAATGAGTTCGCGTGTCACCTCTGACACGCGTGTCATAGGTTCGCCATCACTGTGTCTAGTCCTACTGAATCAGAGTCTGCATCTTTTGCATTCTAACAAGGTCCTCTGGTCTTGTATATGCACAATATAGTTTGAAGGCATTGATGTCGAGGGCTATCTTCAAGAACACATCTACTGAGTCTTCTAGTATAGAAAACAATTTTGAACAAGGGATGTTATTGCAACAATGAGTTTGTTTGAATGGATGACTTGTTGTTTTTAAAATAGTTAACACAATAGTTTCATGTTTTCTGTTTCATTTCTAGGTATCAGTGCTGTAGATGGAGGAAGAGGCTTCCCACAGGAGGGCACCGTTGACCAGTTGTCCCATTTCCCTTTGGCTGGATACGCAGAATATGAATTGATTACTTCTCTCCAAGCTGTTGCTTAAAACATCACCTTTTTAAAATCAGGATACAGATTGTCTCAACTAACACAAATTTCTGTGAAATATTAAAAATAATTGTGTCTTATGGATCAAGGGCAAAAATACCTTCTATCATAAAAAACTTTGAGTAAATTCATGGGCCAGTTTTCACCCAAATAATTCGGTAGCACAATTTATTACAATTTTCATCCAGAAAATTAAGATGAAGAAACTGAGGTTGAAAAGATTTCTAGTCACATTATAATGATAAGTTTGTTCGTAAAATCTGTTACCGATGAAAACATGGAGGTAGCCAAACAGACTTCTTTGTTTATTCCTTCTGATGTCAATCCAGCTTCAGATGGAGTGAATTTATTACAAGTTCCAAATGACCTATAGTTGAAGATCACCATCCATTTTTGCTAGACTTTAATCTAATTCTAGCTTTTGTTCCCTGCTAGAAAATAAGTATGATCATTGATGCTCGAACTCACTGATAAGCAACTCGCTAGAAAAGTTTTGTCAGAAAGAATACATTTCTATTACATCTGAAATATATTTTTCATCTCTTCTTACCTTCTTAAATTGGGGGAAATCTATAACAATTATGAAAATCGGTTTATTTTTTATGATACTCCTTAGCCAGTTTGGCTTAAAAATTTTTTTTTAATGTTTTTATTGATTTTAGAAAGAGAGGAAGAGGGAGAGAAACACTGATGCAAGAAACATCCATTGGCTGCCACCTGCACGCCCCCTACTGGGAATCAAGCCCACAACCCAGGCATGTGCTCTGACCTGGAATGGAACCAGCAACCTTTTGGTGCATGGGACGACACTCAACCAACTGAGCCACACTGGCCAGGGCTTAACATTTTTTAAAGTTTTTTTATTTTATTTTTATTGAACATAGCAAAAATATCTAATTTCTGTTAAGAATTCCTGATGGGTCAATTAATCCTCCATTTATATTGATATTATTTCTGTGTCCTCTCATCAAAGGTATGATAGTTTAAATATATAGTTCGTCATCTATTAAGATTAAATGATGCAAATCAAAAATTATACACTTTTGGAAATTTAGTTAAACATAAGTAAATGGTGTGCTGTTTGGAAATTGAGTTTCAGATAAACTGAAGTGGTGTGTTTGTTGATGCCAAAATCTTAGGCTTCAGTAAATATACTAAGAAGCTCTTGTGCCTTGTATGCACTATTTAAAAAAAAAAAGTTTTATTTACTCTTTTTTAATTTGTTGGAGTGTAAGTTTTATAAATGTTAGTGATTAGAATAAGCTGTGTACATTTTTTTGGTACCGATTTTCAGAATTTAAAGCAGATTACCTTTTAAAAACTACACAGCTAAGGAATTGGTATTTAATCAAAGGGAAAATGGTATTAAACTTTTCAAATTCTGAGTTAGACAAAATAGGTTAGAAGGCCAGAGGATAATGGAGTAATAATAGATCCTTGTAATTACTCATCCTTGCTAAAAATACAGAGAGTTTAAAATGAGTTAATGGAAGAATCGGTCCAGTCCATTTTCTAGGTCATTTGAGTGCAATTATTTGAACAATAGGATGGCAGTTTTTGTTGTTTTTTTTTCAGATTTTTTAAAGCTAAATATTTTAATCAGACAATCTGCTTCGAGAAATTTCATAAGATATATTTTTACTTTTAACTTAAAGCATTTTTTGGTCATCATTTTTCATTACCTGAAGTGCCAGGTTGGAACCTATAGCTACTGTTTGAAGTCTTAAGGGCAACAGCATTATGTGACATATTAAGAATGATATGCAACCAGATATTTTTCAAAGCACAGTACTATTGCTGTTTTTATTGGAATAGGATTGTTAGATGTTCCCTATTGTCAAACTAGAAGCTAGGGGGGAGAAAGGGAGATTTCTATTCTTTACCTTGCTAGAGTACTGTTCATCATTTCCCCATTTAGGTCATTCATGTAATTATTGAAATACATAAAGCCAATACACATTAGATTCGGATTTGAAAACATTTTTAAAAATAAAAAATTTTCATTAAGTTTCAATGGTTCCCTTTTTGTTTCATACAGTAAATAATCTTTAATGGTTTTTTTTTGTTTAGTGAGGGTGGGGTTTACAGTTCCAGGGCGTTATAATTTTTAAAGATGGCATATCTTATTAGATATGCAGTATAAATTTTACTTGAGTCAATAAAGCATACTTATAAAATGTACCTATTTGTTAACTATTTGCCATTGTTCAGTGAAAGGGGGTTTGGTTTTTCAAAGATAAGTTAAAGGAAAATTGCATCTAAATACAATGGTGAGACATTCAGGGCAGCGCTTACCCACGAATTCCCTGCTGTTACGCCGTAATAAAGTCTGGTTGATCGCCTTCACTAGCTGTCTGTATGAAGTTGCTCTGCACGACCCTCTGAACTGCTTCACAGATAGGTACACGGTTTCCAATAGTGTGCCAGAGTTAGCTACTTACCGCAGGCAAAATTCATGTCTATAACCTGGTCGTAACACAGGTTTTCTGAGGAGAAATGGGTGACAAGATGAGAAAATTACTCAGTAGTAGTTAAAGGATTCCAAGGACAGTTGGAACAGACTGTAAAACTCAAGTACACTGTCATCAACAGACAAGTATTGGAAATACGGCATATGTTTGGCAAAACTATCGTCACTAAGAAAATCAAAGGATTTATAAACCATGTTCATAAAAATTTAAGCTAGTAATCATGTGATTCATGCTCAAAAGAGCCCATGAAAAACTGTTACTCCATTATATTATAAGCTAGCAAATTTTGAAATACATGTAAACTTGCTGAGCTGATTCTGAAGTTATAGAGTGTCTTTAATACACACATCTTATTATCAAATATTTACTTATAAAAGTGGAAGTTCTAATACCGTTATGATTTTTTAAACCCAATACATGAACTACATAAATGGTCAATGTAACAAATCCTCTTGCCTGGAAAACCATAAAGGAGGTATTCAGTGTGGGCATACCAGCTATCCCTGGACAACAGATTTTAATCTGCTAACGTTTTTGTCCACAGTAACACATTTGGACAATGGATTTGCACAAAGAACATGTCTCCAGGTAAGATCCTCCTGCAGAAAACACCTACACTGCTTTCCCACCCCCGTGGACAATTTAGAACGTATTTCCTCTTCCGCGTGGAAGCAGACCACATACACTAACTGCTTGTTACTCTTTTACAAACATACCACTAGAATTATTTTAAACGTCGTAAAAATTCAGATTCTAACTTTCATCGACATTTTAGCAATTTGATCATGTTACTTATTAAAAGCATTACGCACACGCTAACAATTTTTATTTTATTTTAAAACTAAGCAATCTGGTCCCACTAGGATTCCATTAGAATTTATTTTTTTTACTCAAGGATCTTATTTGGTTACAGGACACAGGAAGTTGTGTTATACTTTATAATGGTCCAAACTGTGCACTTCCCGTTCCTCTGCCAGGATGGGTTTGTTATTGTATAGAAATGTAGCCAGTGGGCATCACTGGGGATGAATTCCAGCAGGCTTGTTTCAAACGAAATTTGTGGATCAAAATTATGAACATGAAGAGGCTCTGATATAGATGTTTTTTTAATCCTCAAACAAGAGGATGTAAATAAAGAGGATGCTCTACCATAATGCTGGAATCTAAGCCAGTGGTTCTCAACCTTCCTAATGCCGCGACCCTTGAATACAGTTCCTCATGTTGTGGTGACCTCCAATTTCATTGTCACAAGTTGAACATAATTAAAGCATAGTGATTAATCACAAAAATATGTAATTATATATGTGTTTTCCGATGGTCTTAGGCGACCCCTGTGAAAGGGTCGTTTGACCCCCAAAGGGGTCGCGACTCACAGGTTGAGAACAGCTGGTCTAAGCCAACTAAGAGCCCAATCTTTGACACCCTTTAATTGTTATACCAACAAAAATACGATAATCTGGGCAATACCAATAGACTTGATGCCATTTGCAGCCCTTTCTCACTGCAGGAAAGTGACAGCAAAAACAAAACAAAATAACTGGTGACAATGCCCAGTGATAGATCTTTGTTCTTATTCATAGCCAGTATTCAGTAGTTCTGTATTGTTAGTTTACAGTTGGGGAGTGGGGAGAGATGGCTAAGATTATTCATCTGCTGAATTGAATTATTTCTGAGTACTACTCAAACCAAAGATGGCCTTCTGACAAGTGACGTTAAACTCTGGTTTATGCAACAACATAAAGGAGCTCATTGCTCATGAAGAACAGGACTATTTTATGGTTTAGGTTGCATCTTGCAGGGAAGGTTTCACAGTGTAAGGAGCTCAAGTAAATTCATTAATACTTAATAGCTGTCTGACAGATAAAGGTGCTGAATTAAAATGAGAAAAAACATAATGCGCTAAAGTATAATTCTGTAGATGCTGGATTGCTGATCCCATAGAGAGCTTCAGTTCAGTTTTTTATTGGGCTATGAAAGTAAGGCTGTTGTCAAAGTTTAGGCTTCACGTCCCTTTCTATCATTATGTAGAGCCCTCTAACGCCTAGTATTAAGAGTATCTTAAATGAGTTAAACATTTAATGAACATTTAATATTTAAAAAGGGAACCTTGCCCTGGCTGGTGTAGCTCAGTTGGTTGGAGTGTTGTCTTGTACACTGAAAGGTCGTGGGTTCAATTCCAGGTCAGGACATATCCCCAGGTTGTGGTTTCAGTCCCTGGTTGGGGGTATTTGAGAGGCAACTGATCTATGTTTTTCTCTCACATTGATGTTTCTCTCTCTCAATAAACGTATCTTTGGGTGAGGATTTTTTTTAAAAAGCCACCTTAATTACATTAACTATTCTTAGTGTAACATGGAATATATTTTAAAGTTCTTTAAAAACCACATTTAGGCAGGAAGTAGATGTGGCTGAGTCCAGAACAGTTAATAAAGAACCGACGAAGGGATGTCTGTATACACCCATGTAGCTAAAGCTTGACTATTTACTTTCTACATGATCTTTGCAGTAATAAAAGACACCAGCTAATAATGAACAATGCTAATTCTTGTCTAGAAGAAAATAAAACTAAGGCGTAAGACACAAGTGGAATGGGCTCCTGCCAAATGAAAACAGCTTAGTTCCTTTTCACAAGTTTTTAATTGTGACCAACTGAACTTTGTCCTGGTTCATGCATATTTTCAGCACCATCAGTTACATCACATCTTAGATTCCACTTCAGGCTGTACTGACTTACTAGCTTCTCAACTTCTTTGAACATATTCACACCTGTAGTTGTTCCATGGATACTATTAGTAGAAACTAATTCTTCAGCCACTTCAAACTCTGCATTGGTTTCCCAACAGCTGGGCAGTACTGACTCTTTAACAGCCAAAGAACACTCAAAATCATTTGTCTTGTTTTATAATTATTTTATTTGAGAGCAGTGGAGAGGGAGAATCATTGATCCGCTGCCTCCTGCATGCCCCCTACTGGGGAGTCAAGCCCACAACCCAGGCATGTGCCCTGATCAGGAATCGAACCATGACCTCTAGGTTCTTAGGTTGTTGCTCAACTTCTGAACCACACAGGCTGGGCTAATTGTTATTTTATATGCAATGTCCTCACTCTTCAAGCAGCTATTCTCATCAAAAGGCTAATTTTATTTCTACATTCCTTTGGGCTACTGCATTCAGAGAATGTGATACAACTCACCATCAGTAAATGGCTTGGCTTGGCTTACACCTGAGCCACTTGTAAACGGACTTTGGTTGAAGAAATTACACTGTGATGAGTTATATTTTAAAGTTTCCAATTCTCCTAACTGTTGCTTTCCCATGAATTGGGAATATTATGATGAGCTTTAGCCTGCTTATGGCAACATGTTGTATTTCTTAGCACAGTTATAGTTACATGATAAACAGTATTTTACTATATCATTTAGTAAGATAATCCATTAAGGTGCCTTAAAATATTGTACACTCCAAACGATTTTGTAGCATACCAAGCAGAAATGTGAAGTGAAAAGAATGGTATGGGCTTTCTGTATTCAACTTCCCCACTGTAGTGCATAAAGGATTGTGGCTGCATCCCAACTAAAATTTAATTTTCATATAATTTTCACATCAGGAAATAGTTTCTTCCCATTTTAAAATTGTAAAAACCATTCTAATCTCACTGGCCTACAAAAACAGGCAGCAGGCTGGTTTGGGCCTGCAGGCCATATTTTGCTAACCCTTCATCTAGTAGATTTAACAAGATAGTAAGCCCAGAATTAATGGCTCAGGAACCCTAAAAATGTTATCAGCTAAGTATCTTTTATGCAAAGCTACATTTAGTAAAAGTCATAATGTTCCTCTTATAAAAGTTATAAAATATTACTTCTTAGAGACAGAAACCAATAGTGATAAAAACTATGAAGTTCAGCAACTATGCGGCTATTCAAAAGGCAATCTTCATAATTCGTTTTTTTTTTTTGAGGTGAAGATAAAAAGAAACCAATTAGATACCTGCTATATTGGATCAGCTTTAAAAAGAAGCCACAGTAAGTTATGCCAAGTGCATTTACTTTATAAATCTTTCAGGATAAATGCATTCTTAGAGATAGGAATCAATTCATAAAATCCAGTTGAAGCATTAATAAAGAATAAGCCACCACTGTTGAAATACAGAAGGCCCAGATTGATTTTTCAATAATTAGCTACAGTTAATGACGTTACTGAGTTCTGTTCAGTTGCCCAAATTAAAAAAAGTAATCCCCCAAATAAATATTTTCAAAACAAAAAGACCATTCACCAACATATATAAGAAAACATTTCTGAAGCCTTTATTTACAAAAGCTTTAAAAACAAATAATACCCTCTGTTTTGCAAATGTCTTATTTAAAAAGGACCACCCAGTTACAGCACTGTAGTATCATGAATAAATGTACAAGGAAAACAAACCAATGTGGCTAACATTTGGAGATTTGCTATTATTACTGATTGAAGTGTAGATAACACACATCATTACTTGTAGTCCATCATTCTGAGTAGAGTTAATGATTACCAAAATGTCTTCCTACACATGCTCTGGTCTAGTCACATATTCTGCATGGCTAAATATTTCACAGTCTCTTTTGTCAATATATATAAAATAGATTGCAAAGATATACACACAAAAAATAAACAAACATTACACTCCTCAGGTAATTTTATTAGCTATATATTAGCTATATGTGTATATATACACACATACACACATAGCTAAGATATATTTTTGTATTTTGTTGTGCACCAAATCTCTCCATTCTTTATCTTTGTAACAACTATGAAAGCATAATTTTTGTCTAATTTAATCTGGTACAAAATATACCTAAAGATTTATTATCTTTGGACTTTAATGAATTTGATTTTTGGAATTAACAAATCAAGAGCTCGTAAGTATGGCTATAAAATTAAAAAAAATTAAAATAAGATGAACAGTGATGGAATAAAAGGCAGATCAAGGGAATTGTGCCATCATAAAACAATTGCAGCGTCAACATCTTGGAGACCAGTTTCCTGGCAGACAATAAATGTCCAATCACAAACAAGGGATTTTTCCTGGAGGGTGTAAAGCTGGTTTGAAAGGTTCTTCAGTCAGAGCGGCCTACACACATGCCAATCAGAAACTGACAGACACTAGATGTGCTCGGAAGATTAAACACTAGTACTGAAACAGCAGTTATTAAGCTCCTCAGTAGTTTTCGTCTTTTGTAGTCTTGCTGAACCAACCATTTGCATAATGCATGTGCGATATTCCACGGGTGAAAAGTAAATACTTTATAAAGTTGGCAGATGGTCATTTTTCCAGCTAAGAGCAAGAAAAACCAAATTTTCTGATAAAACAGAGGATCTGAGTCAGAATCACTCTCTAAAGTGCAAAATTGATGGTCCACAATCTCAAATAGCTAAAACTCCTGCAGAATGGAAGGGAGACATGAAACACGGAAATAAATTACAGTCAGTGCTAGTTAATTTAGGAAAGGGAAACAAACCAAGCTCAAATCGGTCAAGTTTATATGATGCAGCTTTTCCACTCTCTGTCACACACGCCTGCTAACAAGTATATTAAGGCCAAATTTAACCTGAATGCTTTTCTATTTAAGCTCTGAGATAGGAATGGTCATATTAAGTACTGAAAGACAAAAATAAAATGGGCGATGAAAAAAAAAAGTCTATTGTTCAAGGGATTCAACCAGAGATAAAACCTATATACAAGCATGTGTGTAGTTCAAATAAAATAAAAATAAAAGGACTATTTCATGTCATGACTGCTTGTTGGCTTCCTCTTCATATGCATTCCCTGTGCCATTCTGTACATAGGATGAACCAGAACCAAGGCCATACAAATGACCACAATATTTGGCATCATCAATATGATCTTCAAAGAACATCTAAAAAGGAATTTTGGGGAAAAAAAAGAGATAATTTTAACCAAAAGGTACCACTGGTAATGTATATTTCAGCAAAATCAGTACTGGCTGTTCCTAACTACAACGGCAGCTCTTTTCTATCGTCTCCTTTGAGGCCACACATATAAATCAATGAATAAAACTGAGGTCCTCAAGTTCAGAGCTCAAAAGAAACCAAAGAAAAAGACTACAAAAAAAAGTATAAAATGCATGTCTTTCCTTTTAACATTTAGACCATTTTTATAAGAATCTGTAATCATGGAAAAATGGCAGACCTTTTTACCCCATTAACTGAACAGCACTCAATGATAAGAATGAATGAAAATAGCAAATGGTGGGTGGGGGGAGTTTAGATAAGTAGCCTTGAGCCTATATCAAGGCTAAGTTGACTAAAAACAATCAAAGCTTAAACACGTCCTGGACAGTAAAATCTGAACATTCACATTCTGTTACTATCCTTGAAGAAGCCAAGAAAAATAAAGGTAACAAATTAGTAGTAGGGAATCCACCATTAATTCAACCATTAAACTATTTTTAAAATGCAAAGCTGAAAATCCAAATGACTGCTTTAATTCTCTAATGCAGCACTGGAATGACATACAAAACAAAGTATTTACTTTAATGAATAGATAGTTCAAATCACTTGGTAAAAAAAATCCAGTACTACTTGGCAAAACAGATATTATGTTTCCTATTGTTAATATATTTCTATAAAAAGTTTTAAATTCCCAAAAGACTACTTAGTCAATTCTTCAATGTCTTAGAGGATATACTAAAAAAGAATTTTATAATAAATTTTTTGTAAAAACTAAAGCTTTTATAAGCAAAAAGTCCATTCTATCTTGTTTTTGCACAAATTACCTTTTTTCTTTGCATTTTACCTACAGCGAGGCATACCTGTACCTATCACTTAACCTAAGGATAGACTCAGGTTAATTCAATTTTATTCTTCCACACCCAACTTCTTTGTTCTTTATCTCTGCCTTTTACTAAAGGAGGGTCTGCTCAATATGACTTTTGACTCAACTACTTCTTCAGATTTTATTTAACCCTTTGGAATTAAAAACCTCTGGTAAGACTCAATCTTCTAAAAGCACAAGTCCTACTCTATTAATCCTCAAAGTACTGAAGAATGGGATAAGCAAATAATGTTTTTACCAACAATTTAATGCCTAAGATTAAGACAATGCCAGAGGAAACAGATGAAAGAGTCCCCAGACTTGGCAAGAGTAGCACTGATGTGGTCTATAGCGAGAACTCTAGAGTTCTCCACTAGGAATGTATGCACCTTGGATAAAAGGTAATCGCCTCTGGCCTCCGTTTTCTCACCTAAAAAATAATATAGTTGGACCTTTCTAAGGTAAATTTTTTAGTCTCCAAAGAAATTATTTTTTCATTTCCTCTTAAACTACATTTCAAGATGACTTATTTTAAAATACTTTCATTCAAGTGTGGTAGAAATGACTTACATGGTACCTCTAATTATATTTTCATTTAATAAGTACTTATTGCCCCCCAAACTTTGCCATGTGATTTTTAATGTTCTCAACCTAACAACCAATTGAGAAAAAGGCACTGATGTCTTCATACTTCTCTCATTTTGAAAAAGGCCATTCCTGTGAGCAATGAATCAGACCCTGCCTGATGTTGTGGTCCTATCCGTTCCAGCTCTAACTGTTCCGCAACTTCCTGTAAACCACCCTAGAAGACAGGAAAAAAAAAAAAAGCCTGTCAAGAGAAACATTGCAATGCCTGAATTCACAAATTATATAACTTAGACAATGACCAAAATATAAATAAACTTCAGAATGTAGAGATGGCCTTATGAACACTGGAAAACACAAGAGAATGTGAAATACTAAATATTTGTTGAATGTGGGTAAAGTTTATAATTTAATAGAAAATTAGATCTTAATTGGGCAAATTTATCTTGATCATATGCTTTAAGGCATGTAATAGATAAATAGCTTTCCTAAAGATATGGCGGAAGCAGATCATATGGTAACAGGTATCAAGGGTAACATTATCGAGTACATGCACAGTCAGTCCACCCATTGATCAATTATTATAAACCTGACTGTAGGTAGTTACTTTCTAATTTTCCTAAGCTTCTCAGTAATCTGTTTCTAAATAGTTTCATCTAAATAATTTGTAGAAAACAAAGCTATTATGACTAATAAAATCTTAAGTGCTTAACTATGGTTTTGCTGGTTAAAAAGAAAATGTTTTTATAATACAACTCCTTAGAAGGGTCTGCTAAAAATCTGCCTATGTTAATAATGCTAGGATTAAAAAAAGAAAGATGATGAGAGTGAAAGAAAGGAAGAGAAAGAATGAATAAAAGAGAGAAAGAGGAAGGAAGTGAGGAAGGGACTGTAGCAAAGGAGGAAAGAATAATAGCGGAGGACACTTGGAGGAGAGAAAGTAAAGGAAGGAAAGCATGATCAGGAAAAACAAGACAAACACAAAGAAATTCCTCTCTAAATTGTTAAGGCCCCTACTAGCAAACCAACCCTTCTGTTTATCACAGCCTAAAACAGAGCTTTGGACAGCAGTTGCTTCTGAGCTAAAAATAGCACGAGGCTTAGGTAACATTAGCAGCTGCTTAGAGAGCAACAGGGTAGGTCATTCAGGCGGTGGACTATAGGTCAAAAAGCACTGTTGTCATGAACCTGAATTTTAACATTCTAGGTCACTTATATTCAGACTATCTGATATACTTAGAAATTTTCAAATAACGTATACATAATGAGCAATAATTTGGTTCTGTTTCCAGAAACTGTCATTGTACAGATATCAATTTTAAAATGCATTTCCAAGGCCACATTAAAACATTCCGGCCTTGGATTCTCAGCATGTAATACTTTCAGGGTATGGATTGAGTTTCTAGAGTAGTAAGGATATACTACTGCAAGTTCACTTAAGACGCATAGCTAGAAGTCTCTTCAAATTGCACAGAAATCTGCTGCTCTTAGGTGTTACAAATATGAAATAATCTTCCTTAAAAATTTCCCTGGTTATATGGCAAATTCTATGAGGAGGCAAGCTGACTTTGGCCAAAAGACTGTTTCTCTTATGATTTTGGTTCATTTGTCAAAGCAAAGTTTCCTATTTAATTCCTAAAATATTTATTTCTGCGTAAAAGTAATGCTCTTAAAGTTTTTAGCATCTTCTAAAAGTATAACATAATTGCACTTCTAAAAGCTTGATGAGGAGAAAATTTGATCAAACTTGAGATAGGTTCTCTGCAGCAACCACTTTACCTAAATGTTTGTGTTTCTGTTTATTATAGCTTATTCACTGTAACAGAAAATACTGTGTTCCTTAGGGAGGCTACGCCATCACAGATGCATTCTCAAACTAAAGGAACACTTTTCCTTAAAGCAGTGTTCCTCTTGAAAAAATTAATGTTCAAAAGTAACAAGTGCACATGTTAAGCAGTGTCAGGATATAAGATACTGTCCGGACAGGACATTTACTTACTATAGCACTTACTACTAACAAGTCGACAATCTTTGGGGCAGGAAAAGCAAACAAAACCCTTTCAGCTTTGTAATTTAATCCCTGAAACAGGATCCAATGACTAGACCCAACAAAATAATCTCTAGCCAAGCCCAACTGAAGGAGAAACTTTTGTACCCTACTGACTACATCTGCACACTGCTGGCCCCTTGCACTCTATCTTGCGTGGATAGGTTATGTGCATGTTGGGAGAGTGAGAGCCTGCACTTCTGTGCAAGAGAGCTTCACAGTGTCTGTGCTGGTTTTTTATTTTCAATCTGGCAAGCAATGACAAAAATCTGATCCTTGGTTTTAATTTTACTGAAAACTTGTTCTGCTAATATATATTAAAGCTTTGCAAAAGGATTTCCTATAAAGCATTATTTATGCAAGGAAAAAAAAGAACCAAATGACCAGATAATACAACTGCACTTAATATAAAACTATGACACATGGTCTGAATCACCATCCCAACCAGGACCCTATCATGTCATCGCTGGTCGGGACTGTGCAATTACAGGTGAAGCCACTCGAAGCCTTACTTTGAGGTTTTTGCAGCTCTTCATGAGGTA